ACCAATTTGATTTATGAGTGGCTAAAGAAAGAAGATCTTTGAATAAATCATACATTTTAATAACGATAATATGAAACATCGACTGATAAAACTTGCACTGCCATTGCTCCTTTATAGGCAGACCCCTCTTTCCCAGTGGGCACTTTGGGCAATTGCCCAGGGCCCCGCGATCGATAGGGGCCCACCTAGTTCCTGTCAGATCACAAAACGGGGGTCATAGGGGCCTCCAATAGGTCAAAGGCGGTACTGATTGTAGGAGAGCGATTCTGATTCTAAGCAACTCTAACTCATTTGAACTTACTTATTTATATTCTTTTGTTTTAATAACCAATTTCATTTATGAGTGGCTTAATAAAGAAAAAATTTGAATAAATTATACATTTCATTACGATAATATTATAAATATCAACTGATAAAACTTGCAGTTTCCGTAAATAATACATGTTGTTAAGGCTTTTTTGATGTGTGTATATTTCCTACGAAGCAATAAGAGTGATTTTCTTACTATAATAATATAATATATGTCGCAGGCAATTTGTATGATCCCGCGTTTTACAAACAGCGTCGTTCGTTTAAAAACGTTCGCTGTTTTAAAATATGCCAAAAGCAAATTGGCGACACGTTCAATTGTTAAAATTTCTACATTGATTGTCATTGTAAGGTGACCATCATAAAAACGGTCTAGTACCCATTGGACCCTCAAGATTCGACCCAAAAGCAAAAAGTGCCCATTGGACCTCTTTTTTGGTGTCCATTGGACCTTCTTAAAACATTTTATATTCAATGTGCCCATTGGACCTCTTTTTTGGTGCCCATTGGACCTCCTTAAAATTTTTATATTCAGTGTGCCCATTGGACCTCTTTTTAAGTGCCCATTGGACCTTCAAGATTATACCCTACTGCCAGTTCGACCTTATTAACAGTTTTGTTAAGCACAGTACAGTCATGTAGAAAATTGCAGACAAAAATAAAATTAATAGAAGGTATTATAAAGCCACTAACTAAATACTGTAAAATCAGGTTACCTTTTTTCTTCGAATTAACGACATTTCGCCGTCCCCGGAGAATAAAAAGATAACCACAAAAACGTAAGTTTTCAGGAAAAATAAAAAAAAACTGTTTTTTGTCTATTGCTCTATAAATACTGGACGCAGACAGATGATAGTAACCTTTAAGAAAAGAAAATTTTTAACACATTTGGATTTTTTTGTAAGGTACTCGTACAATAAGATATAATGGAGATAGTTAGAAAATAAAAATTGAATCAAAAGTAATCAAAATTTAATTTGTATAATGTTTATTTTTATTTTATTCGTATTGACAAGGAGCCAAAACCAAATATTGCACTACTGACATGTATTTTAGTTCTATGTGTTATAAGGGTGCAAGTGACAATGATAATACTTCAATATCTTTTTTTTTCGTAAATATTGTAAAACCTTTTTTTCTTTAAAGGACATAATATATGTTTGTGCTTTAGGTTTAAAAGAATGATCATTAATTACATTAATTTAAAATTTAATTACATTAATAGTCATTAATGTAAAAAGGTTTCACTCAATAGGGCGATCGTACACTGACCAATAAATACCCTTACAGCGCAACACCAAATCCACAAGACCTTTCAAATCGAACAAAGTTCGATTGATTCAAAGTTCCTTAAAACAGCTTGGATCTAGACAATCTAAGCAACATGATGGTGGATTTTGCAACGAAATCATCTTTTGATCTAAGACTGAAATGCTGAGGTAGATTGAGTGTTTTTATCGACATTTATACTCCTCTTAAGCACCTAATGAAAGGAAGGTTATAGATTCCAAGCCCAAGCAATCTCTGCGCTTAAACAAAAGGATGGCGCCGATCTCATGTGTGGGAGAGAGAGAAAATTTGCTGTCTCGTTCCGATTTATGACCTACGTTGCAGCTAGAAAATAATCTTACAACCGTAGGCCATTGCTTAGAAAAATTACTCACATATGTATCTTAAATATTTAATTTGGTAATTTATAATGTTTTACGAAAGACTGTTAAATTTTTTATGGAGGTAGGTAGTGGGGTAGTGGGTCTTTTGGCAGACTCCAAGTTTTTATGAGACGCAGCGCACTTAATTGTGAATCGTTTGACAAAAAACTAGAATTTTATTTTATCCCGGTTTTTTATATTTAAATAACATAAATCTATCTAATAATTGATTTGCAAATGGCAAGTTTATTTGTCTATTTTTTGTTGCCAAGCATCAAATATATTATATTCAATGCGTAACAAAAGCAGTGATAATAATTTTGATAATAATCCATGACTGGACTGATTGACATTTGCCATAGTGATTGAGTTGACGTTATAAGCCACCACGCACTAAAAATATGACGTTACTAAGATAGGGTAGCCAGTATACTTAAAAAATTGTTTAATTATTAAACACGATTTAAATTAATCGGTAATGAATAAAAAAATCGAAGTATCTATACATGTTATACAAACTTTCAAAATATATATATTTCGTCCCTGCCGGAAACCGACTACCGCTTTTGAACAATATCCTTTAGTTAAAGTATGTTTTTATTATAAGCAATTTCTGGCTAATTGTAAAAATATGATTAGAAATCATTTTTTTATAAAATATAATATGAAAATATTACATTTGTATTTTATTTTATGAATATTTAGAATACATAATAATTGTGCTTCAATAGTTAATGTGAGTGATATAAAAACTGTATGTATAATTTAGTTAAGATATCTGATAAAAAAACATTTCTATTTAAAAGTAAAATAACAAAATCTGTGATTTGATTATTATATTCTATGGTTTGTTGCTGATGATTGATGTTTCGCATTTTATAAATATGTTGATTTTAAATACTTACATTTACAACCTTTGTGCTTTTATTTATTTTATCAATATTTAGAATATATAATAGTTGTGCTTAATCTGTGTGATATAACAAACCATATTTATAATTAAGTTGAGCTATTTGATAAAAAATAATTTCTATTGGCTTTAAAAGTAAAGTAAAAAATCCGTGATTTGATTATTATATTTTATGTAAATATTTATATTGGTTGTTACTGATGGAGAGTTTTGAATTTTATAAAAATGTTGATTAAATACTTAGATTTATAACCTTTGTGTTTTTATGTCTTTTACAATGTTACTTTACTACACGACTGTACTTTACCGTTCCAAAAGAATTAGCCAAATAGTTAAGAGCTCCAATAGCTCCCATAGTGTTGTTAAGTACGTCTTTGAGGGTCCAATGGGCACCATGTTCTTGATAGGAGGTCGAGCGGGCACTTTTTTGTAGGTAAGGTCCAATTAGGAGGGTCCAATGGGTAATCAGACTTTTTCAGAAATCAGGTAGTCCTATTCAAATAGGACTAACTTAAAACACATGCTTAGTTGGGTGCTCCTAAAGTAATTAAACTAGTTAAGTAAAACTAGTAAGTAATTAAACTAGTTAAATAAGTCCCTATGAATGTCTAACAAAATGTCAAAATGTTCATAATAATATTCTAACTGTATTTTCCCGGGACTTTGGACTCTCAAAGCTGCTATTTTTTAGAATAAGATAGTCCACATCGCGAAGACTAAGATCATACTTTTTATACAAATAAATAATAATCCTCCGAGCATCAGATTCCATGAACACCTTAGCGTTGTTTACATGCCGGGTAACCTCAAAAACATTGTTATTTGTACACGGTGTTTTTACTGCTGCTATTTGTGAATCGTAAAATTTTCTTAATTCACTATAATAAATGTCTTTAAAACAATACTTTTTTTGTGAAAAGTCCTTTCAACACGTAGAATTTGCACTGTTTTTAATATTTTACTGTGTCATAAAACTACTACTCGACGCCATTTTTTTTTGTTTTGATTAATGCGCCACGCATGGTAATGGTTTTTACCCTTAACAGGTTAACTACACATATTAAGAAAAATTACTTAATACTTCAATTTGCCTCGGCATTTTGTAAACGCCGATTGGATTGTCTATCAAATGTTGTGGCATATTATAAAGCGACACGACGATTTACATTTTTTTCTTCGGAATATTTTAACACAGCCAGCGTTTTTAAACGGAGGACGCCGCGCCGTTTGTAATATGCGGAATCATACAAATTTTTTGCGGCATATGCATTGTCAAGATTGCGTCTGTACATTATGATGACATAGAATTTTTGAGAAATATATAATAATTTTATTGTTAAAAATATAATTTAAAGATCTAATTTATTATATCAATCATTCATTTATTAATATATTACGTAGTGAAACTATATGTACAAAGCTTAATGTTAATAGAACAGTTGCAAATATCAATATTTTTTACAATTTTATTAGTAATTCGATTTAGCGTGAAGTTGTGGATTGAATAATTTTATTCAAATGGAATCTATTATTAATTCAGAGCTTATGTTCTTGCTCCGAACATTGAGTGTTATGTAACATCGATTTAACTGATCGAAGTTAAAAGTTATAAGAGCCCATATGAAATAAATCTCTGATTATCACGTTATTAAGACTTTTAAATAAATTATAAAGTAAGTCTATAAAAAAAATATATGAAAAAACAGATTGCTAGATTATGCTATTATTTTATGGACACTTCGTCAGTTACCAATAGTACTTTTAACAAATTGCGTAATAATTTTGTTATTATATTGTATATGTCATACACCAAAGTCGGACACTCTACACGATACAAAATAAAAAACTTAGTATTATTTTAAAGTGTATTATATAAAAAAGAGCTTCCGATGCGCCACAAAAGGCTTAAATATAATGATAGGTCATTATATTAAAGTCATCATAAAAAACACAAATTAACAAATGCAAAAGAACTATTAGTTTTAACATATTACACTATAGAAGTTGAGTACATTCTTTGTAGGTTATAAGTAGATATCAATGAAGTCTCCAATTATGTAAAATATCAATCTCCAAACTTAAATTTCTTTCGACAATCCACTGAGCAAATTGTTTTTTACTTTTTTTAGAAGTGTCAACACCGCAATCGCCCTCCCACTACCCGGAGCCGATGCTAGCGGTAGCGGCGGTGACGCAGCTCACTCGACCCATGGACCACGACTATGTGACTAGTATGCTGGCGGCGTGGGGACAACTCCTCATGAACGACCTGCTATCTACCGCTAACGGGAACAAGGTAACAAGAAACTCTCATTTTCCACACCGCAATCGCCCTTCCACTATCCGGAACCTATGCTAGCGGTGGCGGCGGTGACCCAGCTCACTCAGCCCGCGAACCACGACTATGGGATCAGTATGTTAGTGGCATGGTGACAACTGCTCATGAATGGCCTGCTATCTTCCGCTAATGGGAACTAGGTAACAAGAAATTCTCATTTTAATTACCGCAATCGTCCTCCGACTATCCAGAGCCAATTCTGGCAGTAGCCCAGATCACTCGGCTCGCGGACTACGACTATGTAACCAGTATACTAGTGGCGTGGGGAGAACACCTTATGAATGATCTGCTATCTATCGCTAATGGGAACAAGGTAACAAGAAACTCTCATTATCGACAACACAATCGCCGACCAACTATCCGGAGCCGATGCTAGCGGTGACGGCGGTGACCCAGCTCACTCGGCCTGCGGACCACGACTATGTGACCAGTATGTCAGCGGTGTGGGGACAACTCCTATAGAACGACCTGCTATCTACTGCTAACGGGAACATGAGACTTTTAACATTAGCTCATTCGACTTCTGTTTGGCCAATTCTGTTGGTACCGGTGGAGCATACTAAAATATCACCAGCATGCTGGCGGCGTGGGGACTAATTTTCATGTACGACCTATGCTATCTACCGCTAACGAGAACCAGGTAAGATTAATCCTCTCATCATTAGCTCCTTTGCAAGTCTTCTATTAAACCGCTACGTAATTAAAACCCGCGGACCCACAACTATCTGACTAGCATACTTGCGGTATGGGGGCAACTCCTCACTAACGAGCTGCTAACGGATACAAGGTAACACGAAACTCTAATCACCAACACCGCAATCGTCTTTTTACTTTCCGGAGCCGATGAGCGCGGTAGTGCCGGTGACTCAGATTACTCGGCCCGTGGACCACGACTATATGACCAGCATGCTGGCGGCGTGAGGACAACTCTTCGTGAACGATCTGCTATCTACGTCTAATCATTGCGATTCATGCGACTTGTATCTTTTAGATGCTAGCAGCGTGGGTTGACGCTCTCATAAACGACTGACTTTCTATCGCTCACAGGAACTAGGTAAAACCTCTACTCTTCTTTACATAAATTTGACGCACTACTTCTGAACAATACTGGTGGCACATCTATCCTTGGTATACCCTAGGATAACGACTATTATGACCAGCATACTTATCACGCGATTTTCTATGATTATGCTCGTGCATCGTAGATGATAGTGTGCTGGTTAATAATAGGTTTTACAGAATTTTTATTTCAATTCAACTGTCATTTAATTAAAGTAACATAGCGCCTACTTATGATATACATAATTTAGCTCGTCATAATTTATACTTTATTACATTTTTTAAAAGAATTAGGAGGAGGATCTAGAAGTCCTTCATGCTTAATTATTTCTACAAAGTCCATTCGAAATTGTCTATTAAATAAATTTAATATCATTTGCAATGAAGTCTTAATATATTTTTTTGTCTGCCTTACCTTACTTGTAGCAAATCATCTTACAACTGAGACTAATGAAATCTCAATGAAATGTCTAGTCAAGTAGCTTAAGAGAACAAAAACAATGAGAACTCGGGAAAAAATCAATTATTGTGTCTCGGAGGTTGTTAACCATACCGTTGCGAGCACCCCATGAGTTGTGTCTTCTTATCCATATACTATCCATACTAATATTATAAATGCGAAAATGTGTCTGTCTGTCTTTCTATCTAATGATAGTCTGTCTGAAATTTGGTATAGAGTAAGTTTGAGACGCGAGAAATGACATAGGATAGGCAGTTTTTATCCCAGAAATCAATCTTTAAGCTAGTGAAAAGGGCGTTCGAAGTTTGTACGAGAACAATTTTTCTAGGCAAAGTCGCAGAGGCGTCCGCTAGTAATATTATAAATTCGAAAATGTGACTTTCTATTTGTAACCTCTCCACAATTACACCGCACACCCGATTTAGATGAAATTTGGTATGGGATTTAATTTAAGTCCCAAGAAAGGACATACGATAGTTATTATCCCGGAAATTATCCTTTATGAGTTAAAGAAGGGGTGGGAAATTTGTATAGGTGACTAATTAAGCCAAGCAGACAAAGTCGCGGGCACCCAACAGTGCGTTATATGACCGCATGCCCCGCCCCCCCTGTAATCAAACGTAACGTATTACCGGCCCGTAATCGAACGTAACGTATTACCGTACGCCGAAGGCCGCCGGACGCCAGCTTTTTGTTAGCGGATGATGTTGCAAGCGCAATCATCCTATATTATTATCACCAGGGTTGCCAGATTGTAATAAAAATCAATTAAGTATAAGTGCGTGTAATTATTTAAATAAATAAATTCTAAATCCCAAAATAAGCAGAACTTGTACTTTTTATAATAAACAAAGTATCGTACACATACATAAAATAACCAAAACTCGGGAACACATATTTGTGTGTGATGTTCATCACAAAAATAATTATTGCCCCCCTACAGAAATTCGCATCCGAGATCTTTGGTAGAGAAGACACACCAGATGCTGCCGTTGTATTAACCGGTCTCATATTTTCAAAATAATTATGACTATTTATTTCACCATTATCTCATAACTTTATTGTAGTAAATAAAAATCTTGTAACCTGAAACCTCCAGTTTTTAACAAGAACTGGATTTCTATATCCTAATTATATTATAAATGTGAAAGTTTATATATTTGTGTGTTTGTATTCACGCAAAAACTACTGAACGCATTTGGATCTAATTTCGTACGCATATAGTTTCTGATCTGGATTGAGGCATAGGATACTTTTTATCCCGGTAAAACGTTAGGTTTCTGAGGACAAAATCGTGGGCGGCCGCTAGTTGTTGAATAACTAAAAAAATTTGTACATCTCAAAATATACTTACATGTAATTTATTACTTAGCTTTATTTAGTTGAATTACATTTCAAAACACATTCAGGTTATTTACGAATACCAATGAAAAAGTTTACATTACACTGATGCGTAACAAAGAAAAAAACATATTTTTAGCCGAGTGGCAACCATGAGTGTAGTCGTCGCTTTTTTTCCAATAGATTATCTCATTGAACTTGGCTTAAACTATTTATACTAATCACAAAATTAATAGCTTGAAACTATTTTGGTCATTAAATACCTGTTAAATATTAATTTATAATAATAACTTATAGTTATAGTTAACATTTATTATTATTTAACATCTGTTATAAATAATTCGTGACTACAGAAATATTACACGACTTCAGATAATTACCATTTTTAGAATTAGTGAGCTTTTAGTTAATACAAACAATGAAAGTCAATGATACTACTTTTTTTATTGAAAATAGTAGTATAATATTTTTTTTTATTCTTGTAGTATTCGGTTACAGTTTTTCTACAACAGGATCCTCTAAGCTACCTATAAATACATACTGACATAACATTTTTGTAACAAAAAACTTACAGCTAGTTTTCATTAACAAGTTTTCGCTTAGGAATATGAAAAACATCACAAAATTTTGAAAAACCGTAGGAAAGATAAAATATTTGACAATTTCTGATTTACCTATACGGATACAAAACGCTGTGTGGCCTTGACAATGTGAATAAACATTTTACTAAAAATGTTACATTTCATTCCATTAGGTATGTTCCAAATTAGCGAAATAGGTCAAAAAATCCTAAGTAAATAGTGAATGGGATATAGACTTACTTAATTTACTGAAGAGTTCTACGTTATATAAAGATGCCGTGATAGTGCGCGGGGTCGAGTGGAGAAAGGTTACATCACGCGAAAGCAGTTGAGTAACAGATGATCTGTTGGTTCCTTATGGGTTCACTTCTTTCAAACACATTTATATAGACAACAAAACTGGATTGTTGAAAGGAAGACATTCACTAACGTTAATGACTAGATCGAATTACGTCGACATTTTAAATCAGAAACTAGACGAAAGACGAACGGTGTTACTTACAAAAAAAATCGTTCTTTTTTAATACTTTTCTTTGTTTTAAGTTTTATTTTTAGTTAATTACCATTAATGCAAGGGAAGTGGTTATATTTTACTATACTTTGCATCTTGTGTGAAAATCCAAATCAATTTCAATAAAGTTTATTTACACTTAACTAAAGTGGGTAGATGCCATTTTGTTCGATAACTTTTTGCCATTTTCTAGGTAGGGACATGATCCCATTTCTATAGAAATTTTGGGGCTTCTGATCAAAAATCCGCGATAAGTGGTTTTGGCACTTCTCTCGTGATGTTAACCTGACATTGCCTAAATAATTCTGAAGAGACCGAAACAGGTGGAAATCTGAAGGTGCAAGGTCAGGTCTATACGGCGGATGCATTAACACCTCCCAGTCTAACTCTTAATTTTTGCTGAGTGGCTAAAAACGTGTGAGGCCTAGCGTTATCATGATGAAAAACCACACCCCTTCTATTGATTAATTCCGGCCGCTTTCTCGCAACTTCTTGCTTTAATGTAACATTTTTTTTGTGCTTGGTACCTATTAGTAACTTATCGACTTATCTTTGCCCGTTAATTACTTGCTTTAAATGTAATATAAGTACTTAGCATTCAGGAAAACCAGTACGTAACTAAGTAAGTTTGCTTTTAAAATGTTGTTGCTTGCTATCACTTTCGTATAAATAATAACCAAATAGATCTCCATTGCCAATTCTAAATGTACACAGTGTACAACATTAGTAATTGCAGCCTATCTCACAAGGCATTCATATTCATTCAACTGTGTTTATTCCATTGTCAAAGACACACTTATGAATATAGCTATTACACAATGATTATTTTAAAAATCCTGTCGTACGCATTACGTATCTGCATACACATGTAGTGAAAGTATTTTGTGCTTAAACCATTGTTCATGGCATAATGAAGATAATTTGCGTGACAAAAACCCTATTTATTCCGGATTATAAATTTCTAATTTGACGTGAATGTGGTACTTATGTGTTCTTACCTTCTTCAACGTCACATCATCTTTCAAGAAACAATAGAAAACACTGGTTTGTTTGTATATCCAAAAGTATGCAGTATGACAAGTATAAATAGGACTAAGTATTAAAATATTTTGCTCTTTAAAAAAATATACCTGATGTTAATATTTTTAAGAGCAGATATTATTTAGTCCCAAAATACGTAGAATTTATCCTAGGGAAACTAAATAACTTATAGAATTATAATATATTATTATGTAAATAGTTATTTAAACAATCATGACACGGTAACAAACATAAATATAAAACAAAAATATTTTACCAAATCCTATTTTATATAATATGTTTTATAGAAAATGTACTAGTACTATCTTCTAAAGCGTTCACTAACGTATTTTTTTATTGAAACAAGGCTCTACACGAAGTGATTTGACGCTTTAATAGATATTTTGCATATTAATGTGGAAACTGGAGCTGATGCATTTTATTACTCTTGCTCTATATAAAATGCATATTAGGTACTTCAGATTCTAGACTTTTAGATTAAATAAAATAAACTAATTTAGGTTAAGTACTATCTCGTCTGCAGATGAATGTAGTTATGTAGGTTTAATGGAACATTAATTCTGAATGTTTACGATTTCGATTTTAAAACAGATTTCGTAAACACTTATAGTCATAAGCTTATAATATTGAAAAAGTAGCGCAAAGCTGATTTTCCCATTGTTTGTTAAAATACGTAAATAAATAAACCCTTACGGAAGAATATCCTGCGGAAAGCACAGGTTCGAATCCTGCCGCTGTTACTGGAATAACTAAATAGTGGAACATTTTCCAGTAAAAAACTTTCTTCATAATAAATATATATCATAAACTGTAAAGTTTTTCTTAACACTTATGTAAGGTAATGTTGTTTTCAATGCCCTTTCGCTATGTGCGTAATTAATTAAGTCAATAAACACATTTTCCCCGCATTTTCCGATTACTAAATAATGAAGGTTATTTTCAATAATTTGTGCACAACGATTCATGCATTTCAACGCCATTTCATGCTTGTGACAGGAATGCCAAGGCCCTCCGTGCGAGTACACCCGCTCAGCGCCCGCCAGAAACATCGATTCATGCGGTTTTGGTGAGTACCTACAACTTGTTAATTTTATAATAAGTAAGTAGTACTTAATTTTTTTTAGAAAAAGTTATAAGGGTTCCAAACTAGCGTATAGCCCTATGGCTATCACTATCGCTAACGATTTCATTTTGTTATTTCAGACCGCCACCGCCGGGGATTTTCTAATGCCTCGTGCTCTTTTGTTTTTCTTTTGCATTGGTATTAACAATATTAAAGAAAATGATCGTAAGGTATTTAAAAACTTTCGGCTGTGAGATATAATAAAATGATGTCGATAGCGATAGCTGTAGCAATCCCCTTAGGCAATTTGCCCCCTGGGACCTTAGTCACTGAAACAAACATAACACCCCCAAAAATGTAGTGTTATTTTCTTCGATCAACAAAGGTGGAGGCTACCTCCCAAGGTGATCGCCCCAATTTGAGCGGTAAATCCGCTATCTTTCCTTCTCATAATTACATAACTTTCTGTACATAAGCAAATTTCATTATTTTCTTTCTTTAATAATACAGACGAAGACAAAGGCCACGTATTTTCCACATTATGACGATCATTTTTTTTCTTCTGGACCATACCTGGGAAATTTATGATTATGGAGATATTGAAGGTCAAAGTCACATTTTTGGTTCAAGATTTATACATTAATATTTTCATAACGATATTTAGAAACTTTTTTATCGACGCACACTATTACACACAGGCACATTCTTTGTATAGCGCCACAGTAGCGCCCCGCGCTATACATTGCGTACTGTTTTTTTTTTTTATTTTTAACTTAAAAATACAAATAATTCTCACGTATAATATTTTGTAATATAACTTGTTTGGGTGTACAGAATGCGTAGTTTAAATTTTTGTTATAGGTTTTTTTACACCCTGAATATTGAAATCCTACAACTGTGTGTACGTAATAAATAGAAATACATATACGTTTACACACCAGGGGCGTATTTACCCTAGGGAGCCATGGCCCGGTGCGGATAGACCGCGAGTAGCCGCTGCAGGCTGCGGCGAGGGGAGGTTTAACCCATATAAAGGCACTCCTTACAGACTGACTTATATAGTTTGATAAGATTTACTAATTCTAGGGGGTAATTACAAACAAAATACGCCCCTGAGTTACACAGATTATGTAGAACATAAATATACCGCTGGACAGATGGACCGTGAAGACGTCGTGTTTAGTGACCCTTTAGGCACGGAACCCTAAATGTCTGGTCATCAAAGGTAAATCCTAGAATTGAAGATGAATGACGATGTCAAACTGCATGCGGAAAAGTACCTACCAAAATATTATTGCAAGTCATTTCTACATCGAACTATTAACCGCCACTTAAGACTGGGTACACTTGTTCCATAATTCTCACAATCCGCATCTCTTTATTAAAAAACACGTACACGTTTCGTACCATTATCTATACAAGATTAGACATTATATTATAATATTAAGCAAGAAAGCCACGTCTGTTGTATGGGAGCCCCCCTTAAAGTAAACTAGATTCAGGAAATCATTGAAAGAGCTACATTCCGTTTTTTTTTTCAAACACATTTCTTTAATAAAATACATTATTTATAAAACTGTAAACATGTAATAATTTTAATAAGCCGTGCAACCACTTATTTTCCGGTGACTGACTATAATTAAATGGCACGTAACTTCAAAAGAATATTAATTCTAAACTCGTAAGTTTCAATTTTGGTTTCTTTTGAGTATCTTTCACTGTATGAAGAAGGAAGTGCACACATTGAACTGGTTATTGGGTGGACTAAAGCTTTAAAATTGTGATTTTCTTTGCAAGCTTATTTTAATCCATCTGATACATAAAAAGTAGAATAAGGGAACAGACATGCGTCAATATTGATGCATAAGGACTATTTCGGCACCAGTATGTCTCATCTATATATCAATGCTAACATCATATTATAATCGTATGCTACCCATTTGTTATCTTAAATCTTTAGAAAAACTCTAGAAACAAACAGTGTATCCCAACAGTTTCTGAAACCATTACTCATGCTATGAAATATAAGGGAGTTATATTTTCTATCTCATTCTAAATTTTCTGCATCATCTTCATCCTTATTTTAACATCAGGAAAATACGCGACGCACGCGTTATATGGGACTTCTTCCACTTCTTCTACCTTCATAAAATCGAGTAATTTAACTACACCATTTCTATTATTTCGCATTTCTCCACTTTGAAACTATATTTTCTGCTTATTTTCTTTGTTTCCTATTTCTTTATCTTGATTTTGCTGTACTCTACTCTCTTATAGTACTTCTTTTGTTGTCTCCAACCAGCATCCTTGGCTGTATCGATTAGTACCCAGTCAATATACGAAAAGATACATCTACCAACATATAAGCGACGGAATGAAATATTTAAATAAATTCAAAATAATCTGCATGTCATAAGGTATGGAGCTTGTTTAGAAAGAAATTGCATTTTTTTGCAGAGTACCGTGACCAGATGAACTTAGCAACTGCCTTCCTAGACGGGTCGGCGGTATACGGCAGCTCAGAGAAGGAACTGAGATCCCTGCGCCTGTATGACGCCGGGAAACTTGACATAGACTCGTGCAGGAAGTGAGTATTAATGAGCAATCATTACTTAGCATCATGCCACATTAGCTTTCTAATTGGCACTGCGGTTATATAGAAATTATTGTCGCAGTAGTTGCTTTGACAAAGCTTGTAAAGCTTTATGTTAATAGGTACTAGCGGCCGCCCGCAATGTCATCCGCGTTAACTTTAGTTTTTGAGAATCCCGCTGGAACCTAACATATTTCCTTTATTCTTATTTATTCGAAGCATTACTTCGATCGTCAAACTAGTGAGATTTTTTTTCTCATAAGTAACCTCTACTACAGATATACGCAAGTATACCGCTTGTCAATCTTGCATTAAAATCTTAAAAAAATATAATATTATTGTCTTGGAGTAATGCGATGAATCGTTCAGGCGTTATTAATAAACGGTGATTTAATTGTCATTTAACTATTTAATTATAGTTTTACAAATTAATTATTTACATAGTGGAAAAATGCGTATGAACAAATCAAATAATCAAAAATTTTGGCGGTAATGGAAAATCTTTTTTTTTAAACCTAATCGACGTAATTATAAACGGCCAGTATTTAAAAAAGAATATTTCCAGTCCTATGCTTTTCTTATTTTAGTAGGCTGGCACACGAACAATTATTATTTTAAAAAAAGTACCAGAAGACCATACATAACTAAGAGGTTCTGGTAATGAAAAGGTATAAATAAATTCAACTACGGTTGAACAAATTAAAGTCGCATTAGTTCGACGGTAGGACAAATGAGAAAAAAAACTGACTAATTAAACGATAAAAATAATAATGACAATCTCAATTCAGGTCATAAACTATATGTGTGCCAAATTTCATCCAAATCCGTTCAGTAGTTTTTGCGTGATTGAGTTACAAACATATAAACTTTCACATTTATAATATTAGTACGATATCAGTAAATAAAGCATTTACAATGTTATAAAAACTCATATTTAATGTTGATATACTTAAGTAATAGGTAGTCATACCTACACAAAAAGTAACGGAAGCAGTATATGCTAAAAACCTTTTCAAACAGGTTTGGGAAAAAAGCAAGTGTCAAAGAACCTTTGCAAATATTATTTGAAGAAAATGATAAGCCAAATACTAATAAAAAAAATGATAATCTTGAAATTAGATCTACCTACAAGGAAAAGGAAATCTACAGTCAAGGCCTCATTATGTGATAACGATTTGGCATTGAGAATACTTTTCTGGCGCAGCTTTAACAACGCGGTACTTATTTGTAGTGCATGTGTATTTGTTATGATTGTGTCGACTGTACTAAATCTAACAAGGGACAGGTACCTACCATTTTGTAAATGAGGAGCTGGCGAACAAAACGGTATAATAACATCAAATCAAATTTTACAGGAGCAGTTAAAAACTGAATGACATACCTACAGTAAGCTTTTGGCGTGATTTTTAATTTAGTTATATTATCACTATTTTAGGCGGTTTTGCGGTTACGGGCTGTAAAAATAAAATATTATATGGTCAAAACCATATGCGTAATTATACCGTTTTGTTCGCCAGCTCTTCAAATTTAACTTTGTCGCCATGGCATTTAAACCGGCCGCATCTTATTTTCTTTTAGGTTTAAGGATTGTCGCAAAAGCTACTTAGTATTCATAGGATGGCACGTATCGGTTGCCAGCGTCCTTGGCAAATGTTTCGACTTAAATTAAATCCTGCTCTTTATCAAGGTATTTCCCCAAATAGGTGTCACGAACACTGGCTAAATGCCATATATAGTAGAAACTTACACCCACAATGTCAACGCCTCAAGATTATTAGAGGCTGAATTTATTGTCACTTACTCAGATGGATTATTATTAATTGCAGATATATTTACTCTCATATTCATAAGTAGCGTGGATTTTATATTATTCAACTTGCTCTCAGATGAAATTTAAAATAAAAATCTGTTACTCATTCCATCTCAACTGTTTTCAAACAGTTGCTAAGTAGATAAGATTCAGTTTTTATTTTTGAAACATTGGTGCCATATTGTCTCATAAATCTTTAACTTAATAATGTTTACGATGACTATGTTTAACATTTCAACACCATTTCAACTACTATTTTAAGCAAAGGGCCGTCTCGATTTGTTGTTTCAAATATAGACGACAAACAAGATTCTGCAAAAAATGGAACTAGTGGGACAGACGCACTTCCTTAATCGTGGCAAGAATTTAACTTGAGTATTAGATAATGTTTGAATTTGTTAAACAACTATTCTCATACTAGACTAGTAATATAGTTATTTAAACACCAATGTCATACAACGTTTTTCAACGCATTTGCGAGAACACATAATTTAAAGAAACTTATTACTTGCAAAACTATGCTTACTTTTTCTAATAACAAAAAGGCACCACGCGCGGGCAGTGAAAATGAAAATTAGAACTACATCTTTCGTCTCCTTTTCTTTTTAGAATTAAAGTGCGACAAACGTTTAGACCAAAAGGGCGTCCAAGGTTGAGGTTTCCATTGAAATAGAAAAAAAAGGAAAGGATACGGCGGCGCCATGTATGCGACATTCGTGTTTTAATGCCGTTCATTATACAACGGTTGCATAAATAACTATTACCACACTCTCCGTTGTATGGCCGGTAATTTAGAACTTTCGGCCAATGTTACAACGACAACAAATTAATAAATTAGTATGTGCCGTGCGTTAAAATATTTTACCACACGCTCCGTTGTATGATCCGTAATCTTGAACTTTTAAACAATGTATACAACCTCCGTAAATGCATTTTTTGAGCAAATGTGTTAAAAAAACATATTTATGCGTTTTTGGATAAATACTGATAATTCTTCCTACTTTGACTTTTTGTACCTGGTCAACGAATATGTGTTAAACTAATGTTACGCAAAATCCATTGTTGGAAATCAACTTTTATCACTTCCCACCTTCCCACGTCTTATTGTTTCGTAACGCAAGCTACTTATTAGTGTTTGGTATCTCCTTTGGTTATTCGTGAAACTCAATGACAAATGGTGGCCAGTTTGAACCCTCCTATTGTTTTCCCTAGATCACTGTTCTCAGATATCAAAGTCTTCTTTTTAAGCTGCCCACTCCTAGTACAAATGAGGTACATTTACTTTAAACTTTTCAAGTGTGCTGGTAACAATGCTGGAATTCCTAGTGTCGTCACAGAAATGGATTGTATGCAAATGGGATTGTTGAATCAACCTTGAGATGATTTGTATACTGGCAATGATATTCATCACATGCTAAGTATTTACATTATTCCATGGTAGTATTAACGTAAGTAAACATTTGACGACTTTATTGCCTTCAACGATGCGGTTACGTACTTGATTTGTGTTTAAATTCTTAAAATTTTGTTTACCTTATCAAAATATAGCAGTTTTTCTCTGTCATCATTAAGGATAGGTTTTAGCATACGCATAATTTAGCAATGGCTAAGTAAATATTTTCGCATCAGTGCGCCTCTGCGCTGTGCAAGGTGACAACCAAAGAAGTAGGAACTTTTGCTAAAAAACATGAATAAGTACTAAGACAGGTATATTTATTCAAACGATGTTTTACAAAAGCATGTAGTAAAAAAATAAATATAATCACTCAACTTATTCAACGGATTTATGTGTAGATTTGTACAACTAAGATTTGAAAACTATTCATTAGCGAACAAGACTCAGAAGATTTAAAAAAAATAAGAAATAAAGCTCAAAAATATTGAAAAAACATAGAAACTATAAGAAAAACTAATGCCTCACTTTCGAATTTAAAAAAATAGAAATAAAACATATAAATTTAAACTATATTAAAGTCTTAAGACTATGGAATATGGTTCATATTATAAGTATTAATAGTAGCTAACTGCGCAAGCTTGTACGTATTTGCGATTGAGCGTAGTCACCAAGCCACTCAACAGCCACTCTCAGAGTCACCGTACTGTGTTGGCAACAGACACTAGCCACCGGCTAGATTTGCCATATTTTAGAAATTTTATAAATGTCCATTTTGTTTATTCTATTGTCTACTTGTGTTCTGTGTTTACATTATATTTTTCACTGAATGCCGTCACTAGTGCCGTCTCTAATGGTGCGAATACATTTGGTCGGTAGCCCGAATACGAGTGGCAATGGAATTCGGGTAAACGACTAAGATGTAAATGAATGGAGTCAAGTACGCCCGTATTCGGGTAATTTTCGTTTTGGTTACCCGACACCGTCTTCCAACACGTATTCCAGTGTTAATATTGTTTCTGGTGCCCGAATTCGAGTAATGTCTTTCGGGCACCCGAATACGGGCTAACGACCAAGTGTAATTGAGCCATAACATTAGATATAGATGTATTACATTAAAAGTTATCCGAAGAGTAAAGTTAAAGTTCCCTTTACAAAACATCTAAAGGAGAATTATCCTTCAAGGTCCTACAAATAACCATACGAATACGATTAAGTGCCAATAGGATAGGCAATGGATATTTTATTTTTTCTTCTAGGATCAAAGTTAAACTTGATACTTTTCACCATAGCTAATAAAAAAGAGTGTAGGCTAATTGCTTTGATTTGGAATGATGTGTTGTTAACAAAAATTATGTTATAAACTTACCATTCTTTTTGAATTACAGATGCAAAGACAGTACACCCACAGCGCCGCTTTACAAGGCGTTGGTGGCCGAACACAACCGCATAGCTGGCGAGCTGTACGCTCTCAACCCATTCTGGGATGACACCACCTTGTTCCTCGAGGCCAGGCGAGCGGTAGCCGCCATCATTCAACATATCACTTACAACGAGTTCTTGCCAGTGCTACTGGGCGAGGTAAGCTCTAATAATAATAAATTCATAAAACAAAACCGCATCGCTGGTAATCTGTACTCTCTGAAACCGTTCTGGGATGACACCACCTTGTTCCTCGTGGCCAGGCCGCGATCGTTAAACATAACACTTACAACGATTTACTGCCGGTGCTGCTGACGGAGGTAAGCTCTAACGTATGTACATAATATTTACAATATTTACCATCTCAGAATCGAGTGGTCTAATGATCTAAAAGGAGAGGAGACTCCCTAATCATAATAATCATAATCAAAATCATTTATGCAGTTTAGGCTGTTACAAGCACATATGAATGTCTAGAAGCTACGCCATCGGTTCGTAAATCTACGGCTATCCCTCTGAGAGGCACTCGCCAATTCTCAGCTTAAATTCCTTTAGGATCTCACCGTCCCCAAATCGTCATATTATTTGATGAATAAATGTTGTAAGTAGACATATTCTGAACAAAAATACATATTGCTTTTAAGGTAAAAATTTAAACTTCCAGATCTCAATCATTAAACTAAATTAGTAGTATGTTAACAAGCAATACACTAACAGTCATCATCTTCAACAGCGTGAGCGTTTACGACTACAGATTGAGTTGGGACCGACGGCTGTACAGTTTACGTGCTTTGGAAGCATGCAGGAAGGAACTCGAGATAATATATTTTTTGTCGCACATGCTACGACCGCACAAAAACTTTTGGGAGATTATTTTACTATATCCGGTACACATTCAGGGATTTTGCACTTTTTTTCATTTCATTTTCTACATCTTTTTTCATTTATTTCATTTACTTACATATGATACCTAACTTGTTGATTACAGGTGGGAATGGCGAAGGCTGAGTTGAAGTTACAGTCGCTCGGCTTCTGGCGCGGGTATTCCAGTGCCAACCGCGCCGGCGCCTACACCGAGCTGGTTGCTGTGGCGCCCATCTTTAAAGCAATGATGAACCAGAAACTGGTATGTTTATCTACACACTCAAATATACTATATATATAAATATAATACAGAAAGATATACTTATTTGTTATACATAAAATATAAAAAAGTGTTTTTTTTTTAAAACTGTTTATTGACTACTTACATTTCATACAAAACATACTAAAATTTATTAATTTTATGTAACTTTTATATCTAATGACGCCGACTTTAGACTAAAGACTTCTATTAATTTCAGATCAACTCCACCGTGTCTTTGGAGCACTTAGTGAAAACTAACGCTCAAGGCGTATCCCATTTCCCACCGTCTGCGGTGTGGGACCTTTACCGCGCGCGTGACCATGGAGTTGCTTCGTACTTGAGGGCATTGAGAATGTGCGAGCCCACTGCTTCCGTGAAGACCTTCGGCGACTTCGAGAAGATGGGCTTCGATAGAACACAGCAGGAAATGATTGCTGACATGTACAGGTTTGTATTTCCATAGGACAAGGGCTCTAGGTGTTATCCGAAATCCCGCCGTCTGCGGTGTAAAACTTGCACCACGACGTAGCTTCAAGCGCTGTGAATTTGCGAACCCACTGCTTCCGTTAATGCCTTCGGTGACTTCGAGAAGATGGGTTTCGGTGATACACAGCAGAAAATGATAACCGATATTTACAGGTCTGTATTTCCATAGGAAAAGTTCTTTAGGCGTGTCCTACTATCTACCGTCTGCTTAGTAAAACCTTTAGCACAGCGTGGCTCCATAGGCAGTAAGGATATACGAACTCACCGCCTTCGTGAAAAACCATCCGCGAAATCAAGAAGACTTGGTGTTCCAAGGAACACAGCTGGAAACGATTGCCGATATGTACCTGGTATATTTTTTTTACGTTTTTACAAAATAAAAACGAAAACAATATAAATTAATGACTGCTTGGTTAGAATAAACATTTTAATGGTCTACCCAAATTCAAATACAAACTCTTCAAATAATTAAAGTTCATTATTGTTAATTTCAGAAATGCTGAAGATGTAGAGCTCATGGTTGGTGGAGCGATGGAGAAGGCAGCGACGGGTGCCGTAGTCGGGCCAACTATTGCTTGCGTTCTAGCTCTACAGTTCGCCAACTTGAAAAAAAGTGATAGGTTCGTATTGAGTTAAACTATAGACAAAAAATTGTTTCTCGATTATAACTCGTTTGATAGACTATCCTGTTATTATTTCACTTATGATTTTAAGAAAAACTTTTATCAAACTAAAATACCCTTTATTTTTCAGATTTTGGTATGAAAACGACATCCCGCCTTCGTCGTTTTTGCCAGAACAACTAGGAGCCATTAGGAAAGTTTCACTGTCGGGGCTGTTGTGTGCCGCTGACGAGTCCTTGAACAACATTCAGCCAAAGGCTTTCGTCAAGGAAGACCCGTACTTGTAAGTGTATCAATCCATAAGGTAAATCGAAGATATTTAGTGGACAGCGCTTTTATTGGCGTAACGTAGCGAATATGTATGAAATCCAAAGCACAAAAGTAACCTTTTTTTTTAATTAACAAAAGCTGATTTTTGGAAATTCATTACTATTTGTGTATCGTACTTTATTGTTTAGATTTATTTGGATACATCAGGATAACTCAAGGTTTTTGACCTATGACTTAACTAAGGACTCTTTAAGATATTATTCACCTACTACGTAAAATTCATTTACTTTATAAATAGCCTGATACGCAGCTGCTTCAAAATCCATAGTAAGCTTAATCATTCAGTTCATTTTGAACTTTTTAGCTGTCAAAATCGTAGAGACTCAAAATTATTTCCAAATATTCGCCAGAATACCTTACTCTATGCTATTTTTACAAATTATATTTTTACTGCAGACTGAGAGAAATACTAAATTGTATTTCAGAAACGCGGCCCAACACTGCAGTCAGCACAGTCGTCTAGAACTTTCCGCTTGGAGAGACGAAAGCGGCGCCAAAGCTGCTGAAAGATTATCTCAGGATATGGTCACCGCTGCTCTGGAGAAGGCCAAGCAAGAGATGGCGGACAGGAAGCGACTGGAGTATATGCTTTGGGAATCAAGTAAGTTACGTGAAGTTGTAGATTCGAAAGTTACCTACAACTTAAATTGAGATGTGCGGCAATATTATCAAAATTACCTACACGTTTTTCTCATCTACGAGTAACTAAATAGATATTTAGCGGTCCAACAAGTTTAAGCGATAATAGAGCTATTTGAATCCCAATCCTTAAAAACTCGAAACAAGAATTATTTAAAAGCTAAAAATGATAATTGATAAGATTTTTTTGGTCCAACATATAAATATTTCTTATATATATCCTACTAGAAGACATACTTGAGCTATAAAAATCAAAAACAATGAAGGTACCACTAATAACATCACAACCGAGTATGTAGAAAATTTGGTTTTCTACATTGACCCGACCTTGGATTTAACCCAGGAAACCGGTCACTTTGCCATAGAAAACTAGTGTAAACGATTTACGCTAATTGTATTATACTCGTAAAATCAATAAATTCTTTCAGTAAACGTGGCAATTCTCAACAACCTACCGCCTATCGAGATTTCTTTGAATAATGCTTTATTTTATGTTTTATATTTGTTATTCCTGACCGCGCCGAAGGTTTCCAAATGCCTCGCACTCTTTTTGCATTGCTAATAACAATATTAAAGAAAATGAGCGCGAGGTATTTAAAACCTTCGACGTTCAGATATAACAAAATGAAATCATAAGCCTATAGCCAAAGCAATCCCGATAGACGATAGGCTCCCAGGACCAAACAATGACAATAAATCAAAGTAACATAAAAATACTTATATTAACTAATTACTTTATCGATGTATTAACTATACTAAACGTGTTTTCTAGGTGGCGGTGCAGATCCCAAGTCTCCCGTAGGAACCGCGGCCTCGTTCTCCAAAGCCAACAAATACGCATTGAAACTCGCCAACACTTCCCTCTTCTTCGAGTTTGCAACCAATGAACTGCTCAACACAATCCACGGAAGGTAAATTACTAAAATCTTAAGAGTTTCCCAAGCCATAAACACGCTTTTTCAGTTTCAGTAGAAATAAATACTGCCTAGTAACCTACAATTTAATTTATTTTATCTTGCTGAAGCTGAAGTTGCTATATCTGCCATTATCCGACCATAAGTCTAGGTCTGATTTCTTGAAAATTAAGTAGGTATCTAAATTAGATAGGTACATAGGTAATCACTTCCTATCTCTTGTTATTCCGTTTTTGCTGTTATCTTAGCATCTAACTCATAATTGACTCGCGTGTTTGGTTATGACCCCGTTCTCTGTCTCTCTGATTTTGGATGGAATGTACGTGGGATAAGAATATAATAACAAGTTAACGAAAAACATCAAAGGGCTAAAATCATTCTTAAATATCAAAACTTAATCCCGCTTAAGACATCGCTCCAACTTTGTAAATTTTCAAAGTGAAATACCTACATAGTAGTTATGAAATGAGTCTTTTTAAGTTTATGTTTTTTTAAAGTATGTACTTTGAAGCAAGCTACTGGGTCTCAGAACAAGAACTAAAGCAAAGAAAGATTAAATTAAACTCATATCCCGTTATTAATAAACGCGGAATAAGCTTAGACTAGTTACGCCGTGTTTTGTTCATATCACTCAAATGCCTTTTGTCATTCAATGAACAGAGACAAAACATGGAGGAACTGATTCATACTTATTCTTCATTTATTAATAAGGGGGATGAAGTCGATTCATGTAGTTCTCTTATTATTAATTATAGACCAGAAAAAAGACAAATATATGTTGCTTTGAACAGAGTGTGTACCACTATATAAACGTCAAATTGGATATCATTGACTTTGTATGCCTTGTACAATACCGAATCAAAAAGCGATCTAATATCAAATGCAACCTGCCAACACGCCACTTATACTTTTTGGTTGGGTAATACGTGTAGTCTATGCGGAAGTGTACCCTCAAACGTCATTGCATTACTTCTATTCTTTAGTTCTTGTTTAAGAACTGAGTCTAACACTGTTTAAATGTCAATGGTTTAAACATTCCAGCCATCGAAGAAAGCGTCAAGTCTTCGATGACTCCCTGGGCTTCGGCACTTCCGACTTCGTGGACTCTTTGCAATCTGTGGACGTAACCGGATTCCTAGGGCAAGACCTGGGCCCCACCATCGAGCCCCAATGCGACGACACTGGAAGCTGTGACCCCGACAATCCGTTCAGATCCTACACAGGCTACTGCAACAATTTGAGGAATCCCAATTTAGGGAAGAGTTTGACCACATTCGCTAGATTGCTACCCCCCGTTTATGAAGACGGTGAGAGACCTTTTCTTTATTTTCTTCTAATATTAATAAAATATTATTTTCTGAATAGTATCGTTTACAACCCATTCTAAACTCACGGGAGGTTTACAATAAAGACCAATGTATTTATTGTTAACACAAGATACACTAAAATTAACTGTATCAGTCCATAAAATTGTTTCACTTCTTAGTTCTTATTTTAGTACCGAGTTTTAGCCCGGCCGATAATTAACTTATTGCTGAAGTATTTTACTTATCTCAACAACTGCCCTCAAACACATCTATTACTTATACTCGTAATGCTTATCAAAATCCCCTGTCAACTTAAATGGAACTTAAAAATTAATAGACGTGTCTGAGTATAATAAGGCTTGTAACTTCAAGACAAATCCCTACTGTTTATCTGCTGTTAAAAATCTGATAAATTAAGTTCTGTTTCTTTCAACCGATACAAACAACTTCTTCCAAGCAACATAATGATATAATCATTACTGTTCCCAGGCGTTAGCCGTCCCCGTATCAACTCAGTGACGGGCACTCCCCTGCCGTCCCCTCGTATAATCTCCACGGTGATCCACCCGGACATATCGAACCTGCACACCCGCTACACTCTCATGGTGATGCAGTTCGCGCAGTTTGTAGACCATGAGCTCACTATGACGCCCATACACAAAGGTATATTATTCTCCTCTGCATTCAACTCGTATTATCTCCACGGTGATCCACCCGGACATATCTAACCTGCACACCCGCTACACTCTCATCGTGATGCAGTTCGCGCAGTTCATAGACCATGAGCTCACTATGACGCCCAAACACAAAGGTATATTATTCTCCTCTGCATTCCACTCGTATTATCTCCACAGTGATTCACCCGGACATATCGAACCTGCACACCCGCTACACTCTCATGGTGATACAGTTCGCGCAGTTCGTAGACCATGAGCTCACTATGACGCCCATACACAAAGGTATATTATTCTCCTCTGCATTCCACTCTATTATCTTCACGGTGATCCACACGGACATATCGAACCTGCACACCCGCTACACTCTCATGGTGATGCAGTTCGCGCAGTTCGTAGACCATGAGCTCACTATGACGCCCATACACAAAGGTATATTATTCTTTCTGCATTCCACTCGCATTATCTCCACGGTGATCCACACGGACATATCGAACCTGCACACCCGCTACACTCTCACGGTGATACAGTTCGCGCCGTTCGTAGACCATGAGCTCACTATGACGCCCATACACAAAGGTATATTGTTCTCCTCTGCATTCCACTCGTATTATCTCCACGGTGATCCACACGGACATAACGAACCTGCACACCCGCTGCACTCTCATGGTGATGCAGTTCGAGCAGTTCGTAGACCATGAGCTCACTATAACGCCCATACACAAAGGTATATTATTCTTTCTGCATTCCACTCGCATTATCTCCACGGTGATCCACACGGACATATCGAACCTGCACACCCGCTACACTCTCACGGTGATATAGTTCGCGCAGTTCGTAGACCATGAGCTCACTATGACGCCCATACACAAAGGTATATTATTCTCCTCTGCATTCCACTCGTATTATCTCCACGGTGATCCACCCGGACATATCGAACCTGCACACCTGCTACACTCTCACGGTGATGCAATTCGAGGAGTTCGTAGACCATGAGTTCACCATGACGCCCAAACACAAAGGTATATTATACTCCTCTGCCTTTCGCTCATATAATCTCCACGGTGATCCACACGGACATATCGAACCATCACACCCGCTACACTCTGACGGTGATGCAGTTCACGCAGTTCGTAGATCATGAGCTCACCATGACGGCCATACTTAAAAAAAACAACAATTTATTTGATAATTTTAAGAAAGGTAAGATTCCAACTCTTTTAATTATTTGAAGAAGGGTAAGGCGAAGATAATGATTTACTCTGCTATGCAGAAGTTTGCAGCAACAGAAAATGATTCTATAGTTAATTTAGTTCTCCTGCATTAAGCAGCGTATGAAGCGTGTAAGTGCTGCATTTATAAATCTATAGAATGTTTTTCTAGAAGAAGTTTCAATCAAACCAGCGCCCTTTGTGCTATTCAGACCAATGCACTGTTTAGTTGCTAATGTGGAAAGGCGCTGGTTCAAATCCAGTCTCAGGCCTAGCTTTATAGTGATATGTGACTGCAATGAGTCTAGTCTCCACCAAATACGGCGGTAAGGATGACTGGATATGGCAAACTATTTCTGCCCCACCTACTTAAAGTACACAACAATAATGGGAAGTAACTTTAATGAGATCAACTCTTCGCTTTTTAATGATTTCAGTTCAATCCTATTTCTTCGACCCATGATGCTCGTCTAATCCTCCAAAAGTCATGTTGTGAAAAATTTTGCTATCTACACTCAAATATTAAAGCTCAATTACATCAATTCTACAGTTACAACAACCATACTTCTACAATCTTGAGCTTATGTAACACTTAAAATCTGTTCCATTTAAAAACAAACCATTATCCAGGTTTCCACGAATCGATTCCCGACTGTCGCTCCTGCGAGTCCCCGCGCACCGTCCACCCGGAATGCAACCCGTTTCCGGTGCCTCGAGGGGACCACTACTATCCCGAGGTCAACGTCACATCTGGCGAACGACTCTGCTTCCCCTTCATGAGGAGTCTGCCGGGACAGCAGCAACTAGGTAGGTAAATACTATATACTAACTTGTAGGAAGTATGAACAAACACTACTCAAATGATTGCTATTAAACAAGGACTAAGAATAATATGTTCAGACAATGTTCGCCGTCATAATACAAAACGCAGACTAAAGTTAAACCTGAACTAAAACTGACGCTGTCTTTTTTGTTTACAAAAAGAAGACAGATACACCATTAGGTTCAAACCAAGACTAAGTCTAGTCCGCGTTCTGAAATAAGACAGTCAAAGTCTATAGCAGGTGAATTCTGTTCCTTATTATATACAATATTTTTAAATGTAAAGATAGAAAGGATATAGCTGGCCTTTCAATTGAACATAGCATTGAGCTATCTTGTGTGGAACTAACTGAGATGATAATAGTATGCGTATACCGACCCCCTCTACGTAACTTTAACATTTTTGAATCTGTGATGGAGGATGTACTGAAAAAGTTAAAGTCAAAAATAAGTTTATAGTTGTTTGCGGTAACATTAATATTAACATTCTTGAACAAAATTCATTGTCAATACGTATAATATTATTATTTAAATGTTTTAATTTGATCCATCAATTTTTCGAGCCTACTAGGGTGACATCACATTCAGCACTAGTTTGGATAACGTATTTACAGATAGTACTCCTGATAATAAGTCCATTTTTAATAGTATTACATCTGACCATTATGGCTTAAAAATACAATATAAAATAGATGTAACAAATGAATCTAAAGTGATTGAATTGAGACCAGTAACAGAAATCCCGGTTAGAAAATTTTCAAAAAAACATTGATTATTGGATTTCTCATATCCCATGGACGCATGATGATCCTGATATTCTTTTTGGGGATCTTTTTAATCTAATAAGAAATGAATTTGATAAGGCTTTTCCCTTAAAAACTTCGAAACTTACTCAGAAGTTACAGTTCTGTGACTGGGCTACGACTAGTATCTATAAAAGTAGAAACAAACTTTATGAATTTTATCATCTAAGAAAATATAATCATTCACAAGGTTTTATTGATTACCTTAAATGTTATTCTAAAACCTTCAAAAAGGTATGTGCAACAGGCAAATCAAATTTTTTAAAAATAAAATATGTAAATCGAATAATAAAATCAAAACAACGTGGAATTTTATAAATCGTGAAACAGGCAAAGAGGGGTCACGTGACGATATTGTTGAACTTAAGTCGAAAAACATTCTAATAAAATCTAAAGAACATATCGCTAATTTTTTTGATGAATATTTCGTTAATATTCCTTTGGTGGCTACATCTAATTTGAGTTCTTCATCGGTGGCTGCCAAGACATTGCTCGAGAAATATGTACCTAGGTGTGATAACGTGTTTCAGTTCAGACATATTAATTTTATTTATGTTATTAAGTGTTTTAAATCTCTTAAACAAAAAAATACAAGTGATTTATGGGGTATTTCTACTAAAGATATTAAAAGTATAATACCCGTTATTGCTCCTTATCTCGTCGATATATTTAATAACTGTATTGATCAAGGAGTATTTCCGGATTTGATGAAATACAGTAAAGTTATACCTCTTTTTAAATCAGGAAATAGAAATGACCCTGGAAACTATAGGCCTATATCAATATTATCGGTTCTTAGTAAAATATTTGAAAGAATTATTCTGGAACAATTTATGCCTCATTTCAACCTTAATAAACTTTTGCATAGGAAACAATTTGGTTTTACTAGGAGTATATTGGAGGCTTGGGAGAGGTCGCAGAATGTCCTTGGAGTGTTCTGCGACTTATCCAAAGCTTTTGATTGCGTTGATCATCACACGCTGTTATTGAAATTGAGTCATTATGGAGTCAAAGGCATATAAATTGATCAGTCGTACCTCAGTTCCAGAATACAAACTGTAGAGGTAAATGGTGTTAGATCATCTGGATCTCATGTGGAAATGGGCGTTCCCCAGGGTTCAATTTTAGGTCCCTTCCTGTTTCTAGTATATGTGTTATTGAAATTGAGTCATTATGGAGTCAAAGGCATATAAATTGATCAGTCGTACCTCAGTTCCAGAATACAAACTGTAGAGGTAAATGGTGTTAGATCATCTGGATCTCATGTGGAAATGGGCGTTCCCCAGGGTTCAATTTTAGGTCCCTTCCTGTTTCTAGTATATGTAAATGATTTGCCATTTTTATGGAAAATTTGTGTGAGATTGTATTATTAGCATCAGCAAAATGAAGCAAATTGGCAGGCGCAAAAATAACTATGACGATGTGAATAATGCTCTCTCGCAAGTTCTGCAATGGTTTAATGTCAATAATCTAAAGCTAAATGCTAATAAAACCAAGTGTATTTAATTTTCTTTACCTAATGTAAAAGTTGAGCATATTGGAATAAAATTAAATAATGAAAAATTAGATTTAGTAGACTCGACTACATTCTTGGGTATAACGATAGACTCTGCAATGGAGTCATCACATTACAGCTTATGCCATAAGAAAGATAAGACAACTTACTGATATAGATACTGCCAGGACTGTCTATTTTAGTTACTTTCATAGTATCCTATCAAACGGCATTTTACTCTGGGGAACAGCAGCTGATATTGAAAGTATATTCATTTTACAAAAAAGAGCTGTGAGATCTATTTATCAATTGAGTAGCCGAACATCTCTTAGAGAAAAATTTAAGGAAATTGGTATTTTGACTGTTGCTTCTCAATTCATTTACAATTGCATACTCCTCGTTAAAAATAATTTCAATTTGTATACCAAACACAGTAACGTGCACAATTTTAACACAAGGAATAGCAACAAGCTTGCATTGCCACCCTACAGGTTACCGAAAGTTTACCGATCTTTAATGGGTCAAGGTATACATTTTTACAATAAAATTCCTGATGTTGTTCTTGAGTTACCCATAAATGAGTTCAAATGTCACATTAAAAGTTGTTTACTTAAGAAAGGCAATTATACTATTAAAGAATACTTGAATGACAAAACTGCATGGCTGTAACTGCAAAATTGTTTTGTATTTGTTTGCAGTGTCGTACAGATAAATTACCTTAACTCTAAGTAACTATTTTGCAGTTTGGTGTGAGTGGTTATGGGTAGTCATGCTCTCTTAAAAATCTCTTCGGCGGTGTCGTGTGAGGTGGGTCGTTGCGTTCCCTAAAATATGGTTGAGCGAAGTGATGGCTGGTTCATGCGTCATGCTCGTGAACGGGTGCTGCCAGCGGAGATGAGTCTGCTCTATACTACTTTATTATTGTAATGATAATTATTATTAAATTTAGATTGTATTTTACATTACACAACTTGTATTTCTGTATGACACAGCAATCAAAATGTAAGTGAAAATTTATTATTTCTCTGATAAAGATTTAATGGCGGTGTGGATTCTGGTATGGTTTTCTAGACCTGAACTTGGTTTTGCAGCGGTGTATCATTGTCATTCTCTATACAGACTGAAAAGGGGGGACTGATGTTGGATTTGGTTTTGGGTTGGGAGAGTAGTGCCAGAATCGACAGCAGTGTTTGGGTAATCACATGCATGTGTCCTGCCGTTATGTTTATAGTTTGTTATAATAATGTACTCTGGTACTTATATATTTTTTTTTCTATTTTTGTATCATAGTATTCAAGTGTGGTTATGAGTAGTCATGCTCTCTTAAAAATCTCTTCGGTGGTGTCGTGTGAGGCGGGTCGTTGCGTTCCCTAAATAATGGTTGAGCAAAGCGATAGCTGGTTCATGCGTCATGCTCGTGAACGGGTGCTGCCAGCGGAGATGAGTCTGCTCTTGCTTCATTGGATACTATTAATCGTTGTACTAAACTTTAATCGTTCATTTTTAGGGTTCCGTACCTCAAAAGGAAAAACGGAACCCTTATAGGATCACTTTGTTGTCCGTCTGTCCGTCCGTCCGTCCGTCTGTCAAGACCCTTTTTCTTAGGAACGCGTGGAGGTATGAAGCTGAAATTTATATTAATTACTCAGGTCTACTGTCCCTTGAAGCTGTGAAAAAATCAAACTTCTAAGCCAACGCAATCAAAAGATACAGCCGTTTATGCCGCAAATTTTCGACACTTGCAAGGGAATCAAAACCTACAGGGTGCTTCCCGTGAACTCAGAATCTTGAAATTTGGTACCAAGCAACGTCTTATAGCATAGATAAAGGAAAAATTACGAAAACCATAAATTTTTAGTTACATCACATAATATATTTTTTTTAATAATTTTAACCTTACTACCCATTTCCTCATAAACGCGTAGAGGTATTAAATTGAAATTCATACCAAATACTCAGGTCTATAATACCTTTAAGCTGTAACAAAATCAAACTTCTATGTCAACGCAATCAAAAGAAACAGCAATTTAAGCTGCATATTTTGAAACTCGCAAGTACTCGCAAGGGAATCAAAACCTAAAGGGAACTTCCAGTCGACCTAGAATCTTGAAATTTGGCATGAAGCAACGTTTTATAGCACACATAAAGGAAAAATTCCGAAAACCTTAAATTTTTAGTTACATTACAAAATATATATTTTTTAATAAATATAAACTTATTACGGAACCCTCGGTGCGCGAGTCCGACTCGCACTTGGCCGGTTTTTTTTGCCTAAACAGCAGGACACGGAATTCCTAAACTTTGTTAAACCAGTTTTTTATATTATTCGCATTTGTAATGGAAAGTGACTTTATGAGTTAACTCATATTGAAGTCATTTTTCAATTTGACGACTCTGTATATAATACAGGGAGAAAACAACAGCCCTTGCTGAGTTTCTTGCCGGTTCTTCTCAGTACAAGGTCTCCCGCTGTAGATTTGCAAACAGATGGCGTAGCTTTTCGACATTAACAAGTGCTTGTAACAGCCTAGACTGAATAAACAATATTGAATTGAAATATTTTCAGCATAACTTTATAAAATCAGGTATATTTAAATGGGCATTCTGATATTGTTTCGATTCTAAAATAAATAAAATATCCTTTTTTTCCACAGGACCTCGAGAACAAGTGAATCAAAATACTGCATTCATCGACGGCTCCGTAGTATATGGTGAAAACCCTTGTATCGTGCGTAAACTGAGGGGTTTCAATGGCAGACTTAACGCTACCACCAACCCTTTTGGAGGAAGAGACCTTCTGCCTCGCTCTGATAGCCACCCTGAATGTAAAGCACCCAGTGGATACTGCTTCATAGCCGGTAAGTTAAGAATTAGTATTTATATACCCTAAGATTTGGAAGTGTATTTTAGACTTTCTTAGATGATATGGAAAACCCTGAATGCCGATGTACCAAAATGGGCTTTACAAAGTCCATTCTAGTCCAGACGAAACTACAAGGTCAAAATTATCTCTCTCTCTCTATCTCTCTCTAATTTTTGAAAATTTTCTCATTAAATCTTTAAAATTTTCAAGTTTGATTAAATATAAATGCTGTAACTTTCTTTGCAATAGAACAATACGTCACTTTAACACCTATCAGATTTAACTGACGTCTCTGTTTGAATATTAGTAAATCTATCAATTCCTATCCTACCAACCTGAAACTTTAAGAACCATTTTTAATTGTTCCGACAGGTGATGGAAGAGCCTCGGAACAACCTGGACTGACTGCCATCCACACAATCTTCCTTCGGGAGCACAACCGAATCGTGGAAGGACTGAGAGGAGTGAATCCCCACTGGGACGCTGAACTATTGTTCGAACACGCGCGCCGCATCGTAGCCGCAAAGTTCACGCATGTCATCTACAACGAGTTCTTGCCGAGGCTTTTGTCGTGGAACGCCGTTAATCTGTATGGACTGAAGCTGCTGCCCTCGGGTGAGCTAGATATTTATGAATATATGATATAACTTAGTTTCAAATAGTTCAATTACGATTGGTAACACCCGGGGTTATCTGTAAATTATATGACAGGAATCGGTGAAACTTACGCTTATTTACTCATAAAAAATACCAATATTGTGATCTTTACCCCAGGGAAATCTTCAATATGCTTCATTCGGCTAACTGGTATACTCAACCGTTTATTTAAACCAGGTTACTACAAAGAATACTCTCCTACCTGCAACCCCGCTATGGTGACTGAGTTCGCAGCCGCAGCCTTCAGAATAGGGCACTCTCTTCTGAGGCCGCATCTTCCTCGCCTCTCGCCCACATACCAGCCTGTGGAGCCGCCGATACTTCTCCGTGATGGGTTCTTCAAGCCTGATATGTTCATGACAGTAAGTACAAAAAACAAAAACGAAAACCTCATAATAACTGTGAGATATAGAGCGTTCGGCCTGCGATTGTTTTCGATTGAATCAACTTTCGCAATGGTCGGTCATTCGATGGGTGACCAAAACCTTATTATCTCGAGCGGTAATAAGGTTTTGGTCTCGTACTGCGGAATGCACGTTTAGCCGTTGGTCCTGCCTGCATTTGCATTCGTTAGCTACCACTAATCTGGGCGGGGCCGGCTTGGTGGATCATGACCAAATCTCCCTATTCCATCCATAGAGAAGGCCTGTGTCCCAGTAGTGGGGACATTAATAGGCTGTTGATGATGTTGATTGAAAAATAGTCCAGACAGTTGGCAACTTGATCGAGCTGGCTGCTGAGAGTATCACAAATTGGTTACCTGAAAATATAACAAAAGCGATGATAGACCTGACACGACTCTCTATCTCCTCGTATGTGGACATTCCCTAAAGGCGATGATTTCAGGTTGAGATTTTAATGAATATTCAATATCTATACAAAAATTAAAAGGTTCTGATAATTAAAGGATACGCATTTTATAGCTAGACGAAGAAAGAAGAGACACTTACTTTCTTCAATAGACTAAAATTGAAATTTCATTTAATTACTATTTAAGTTACAACTTTGTGCATATTTTAGTGTACATACCTTTGTAATTTATAATTTCTCATTTCCACACAGCACCCATCGATGGTAGATGAACTGATGCGTGGACTATCGTCCACTCCCATGGAGACCCTCGACCAGTTCATAACTGGCGAAGTGACCAACCATCTTTTCGAAGATCGACGCATCCCATTCTCTGGTGTGGACTTGATAGCCCTCAATATTCAAAGAGGCAGAGACCACGGAATACCCAGTTACAATAACTACAGAGCGCTTTGTAACTTGAAGAGAGCCGCTACCTTCGAAGACTTGGCGAGGGAAATTCCTGATGAAGTCATTGCAAGGTTTGTTTCATAATACATTTCCTTTAGCAGAGGTACTAATATATGCAACTCAACCATATTAAAAGCATCGTTGGTATTAAATATCGTTGAAGCAACTAATAAACTTGCTTTTGTCTTCAAAGAGACAAAGATTAAAAGACCTCAAAGTTCGTCTTTTATTATAAATATATGCATTTTGTTCTCAGGTTAAAGAGGATATACCCAACTGTTGACGACATCGATCTATTCCCCGGTGGCATGAGTGAGAGACCCTTACAAGGTGGTCTTGTCGGACCCACATTCGCCTGTATCATCGCCATACAGTTCAGGCAATTGAGAAAATGCGACCGATACTGGTAAGAACCTTAATCAAGAATGTAAATCGAGTAAATACTCAATTTCATAATCAGTAGAATCTGATAAAAAGAAGTAGGTATCTTTCTGCTTTGTCTAACAAACCTTTTTTACAGGTACGAAAACGACAACCCAGCAGCGCGATTCACCGAACACCAGCTGGCTGAAATCAGAAAGAGTACGCTGTCGAAAATGCTTTGCGACAATTTCGATATTCCTGGAGACATACAGCGGGCAGCTTTCGACTTACCCAGCAATTTCTTGTAAGTATAAAATTTTATTCGTATATTGTAACTTATTAAAACTTTCGTGGAACTTCTTATTTGCTTGAGTTTAAATGAATATGAGACGACTTCAATGTAGAAAAACTAACTTTATCTTAGTTCAGATAAAGAAGGAACTATAAAAGAGTGGAAGTACCACATTTGATCTAAAATTGTTTTTCCCGCTTAATTTTTCGCTTTTGAATACTGGTTGGTCGAATGATCACCAGGCCGCCGAACTTTTGATCGAATGAACGATCGGTCGAAATATCTATCTCCTTCTTTTTGTTTAAGCAACTTTATCTTAGGCTAAGCGGTTCATGTTATGATTTTGTTTAGGTACTTATAAATCTTAAGAGCTTTTATCCTACCCACATGCTACAATAAACGAAATTTTGAAACTAACTAACCACTACATGAATAATTCCATAGAAATCCTCGAGTACCTTGCTCGTCACTGCCGCAACTAGACCTGTCTGCGTGGCGGGAGAGCTCAGCACAAGGTTGTCTCATAGCTGGGCGATCAGTTGCAGTCGGGGAATCTGCCTTTCCGTCTCCTTGTACGTCGTGCATATGCACAGTGGAAGGGGTAAGTGAAAAGGAGTTTTTTTTTGTGTGTTTGCTTTTGGTCACAGATGACCTTTACAGAGTTACCGGGTTTAATGGCGGCGAGACCCTTCGCGCTGGAAATTGGCGAGTGCCTCTAGTGGTGGTTCAACCTAGGTGGATCGTGGCAAGGGTAATTTTATAAGTACCCAGATTGAATATCAAGTTAAGTTAGATGCTCGGTAGGAGAGATCAGCGCGGAGCTGCCTTATAGCTAAATTTCTAAGCTTCTTTTAAGGTTCTAGTTAAATTGAGATTTACCAAAATTGCTGCAATTCAATCCTTAGTCATGGATGTTTTAATGATTTCTGCCAGCGAGGAAGGCCAATTACAACAAAAATAGGCTAATTAAGTACATTTTTTATGATTTTTGGTAGTTTAGAAGCGTGCGGAGTTTTTAATGTTAGCCTGAAGCTATGGCTGTAACTGTAACAATTATTTAATAATTTATATTGTTTTTTAAATTGAAGTTGAATGTTTGAGTAAATCCTACTAAAAACTAAAGTTCCAACTTTCAAGCCTTTTTTGAGTAACTTTAAGTAATTTCAGGAAGCTGATTTTTTTTTAAAACAACATTCAAGACAATTATGTCACAAAAAAAGACTGCAAAATACCTACTACGAAAAAGATATGAATTTTTGAAACCTCGCTGTCAGAAATCATTTGAAATACACAAAAAAATTTAATATAGTATAACTCCAAAACTAAGAAAAATCGCGGAACATACATAGAGTATTTCCGGATACCCTCAGGTGCGAAGAATCTAAAAAAAAATTGTTGACGTCACTAGTTGGACCAACCTGTGTATATCTTTATATATATAATTCTTCTGTGAGTGTGTATGTCACTGAACTTCTCTTAAACGACTGGACCGATTTTGATGAAATTTTTTGTGTGTGTTCAAGGGGATCTGAGAATGGTTTAGATTTACAATTTTGTCCGCTGGACAATGTTTTTTTAATTAAATTTTTTTATGGCGGTACGAAGTTCGCTGGGTCAGCTAGTATACATATATATTTCTTCATAAATATAAGCACTGCCGGATTTAGGGGAGGGCAACCGGGGCGAAAGCCCCGGGGCCTCCACAAACGGGAGGCCCCCACAATAGACATCGGAAAAACAAAATCAAATTCCAACTAGTAAACACTAGTAAACATCTTTTACTTTGATATTTTTTTTGCTCTTTTACCTTTACCTACAGCCTACAGTACTTTGTACATCTAACATACATGATTATTCAGGGTCAAATTTAAGGCAGGGCAGGTGGGGCTGTGGCTCAGGGGCCTCCACAACAGCTTAAGAAATAACAACATTTCGATGGGTCAACAAGCGTGCAAATCCTAAGCGGCCCGGGGCCTCCACAACAGGATAAAAGATAAAAAAAATTCAATGGGTTAACAAGCATACAAATCCTAAGTGGCCCGGGGCCTCCACAATCCTAAATCCGGCCCTGAATATAAGTACTTATATATGCATTCTATCCGTCACCCTAGTATCCCAATAACACAAGCCTTACAGTGCTTACCTTGGGGCTAGGTGAAATTGGTGTGAGTATGGGGAACATTATTAATATTATTATTAACCGTTGTCATTGTGAATTGTGATCAGGCGCAGTGTGCATCGCTGCGTATAACGGATTGCGCGCAACTGTTGCGCGAGTGGCCCCGCGAGGCTGTGGCGCGCGACGACGTGTGCGCCGCCCAGTGCGGGGCCGCCGCGCCCGTCGCGAGAGCGCCTAGAAGACCCACTATCAACTTCAAGTTTCCAGATCTGACGCCGTTCATCGCAAAGTGAATTCACTCCGAGTGAAGTCAATCATAAGACTTACCGCTGTAACGTAAACATTTAACTATTTAAATGTGTAACAGAAACAACGAATAGCGGAAATGCGGACATTCCAACAAATATTGTAAGCTTGTTGAGTGGTGATGACGCTCGGCGTGCCGCTCAATTTCAAGTTCCCAGATCTGACTCCGTTCATCGCCAAGTGAATTCAACCATACACTATGTAAATGTATAAAAAAAAGACACTCGACAGACATTCCAGTAAAGATTGTAAGAGTTCTAATAAGATAACGACGTGTGTGCCATGCAGTGAGGGGCCACCGCACGAGCGCCCAGGCGACACACTATCAACTTCATTTCCCGGGGGTCAATCGCCTAATGGGATTGCTATAGCTATCGCTATCGCTTACGATTTCAATTTGTTATTTCTGACCACCGACTATTTTCAAATGTTTCGCGTTCGTCTTTTTTCTTTTGCATTGGTAATAACAATATCAATGAAAATGAGCGTGAGGTATTTGAAAACCTTCAGTGGTCAGAAATAACAAAATGAAATCGTAAGCGATAGCGATAGCCAAATCAATTCCGTTAATCAATTGACCTCCTGATCTGACGCTGTATATTGCACAGTGAAATAAATCATAAGCCTAATGGTTTATTGTAACGATAATAATGTATGTTAAAAACACCGGATAGCCAAAACACGGTCATTTTGTAAGAGTTTTTATTATGTACAGCTTTGCTTAGTGACGACCGCCGCTTAACTTCAAGTTACCATACCTGATCCATGCACTAGTAGAGTTACCAATAAGCTATTTTGAAAGTTCAGAAAAAACAAAATACCTTGATTTACCTTAAGAAAATCCTGTTATGTGCAGCTGTGGGTGCTTTATTTATAAAAAAAACTATTGTTTTGCCCCCTGTATATACGCCAGTAAATAAAGGCGCTGGCAACTTCAGATTACAGGACCTAAATAGAACGCATGTGTTCTTGACTCACTGGCTTACTTAGGGAGGGACCTAAGTATCAAAAATATGGTCATCACAAACACAAAGGACAGTTAACAGAATCCCTCATTTCTCCAACTTTCCCGAATAACATTTCTATATTTATAGCGCAAAATATGTTGAAAATGAGCCTTATTCGATTGGAGTAAGGAAATTATTTTTACAGGAGAAACGAATCTTAAACGACGTAAGACAGTCAGGCTACACAAAACTGCCAAACTACAACTGACTGTGAGCTTTAAAGTGCCTAAGATAAAATTCACAGTCTATTGGGGTGACAGTTAGTGGGAACTTAATGTGTGGATGTCTGCCTGAAAGATACAGAATGTCTTGCGATGCCATTTTTGATACGTTTCTTTATGGGCTATAACCGGTTTCATCCAATTACTAAGCGCGGGACACACCGAGAGCGAATAGAGGTACATTTCTCGCTGCTAATACTGCCAAATGTAAAAATGAAGCAAATACGTGATAGGAACGAAATGAATCTCGCGGTGTAGCGCTTTAGGATAGTTAAAATGAGAAAGTGTAGAATGTGCTTTATTTATAGTCCTTGTCACAAAATGAAAATCAACTTTAACCGGTTTTAAGTGAACATCAAAATAATACTAACATAATAATTATCATAATAAAATGGAATTTGATGAATGAATGATTCCAAATAAATGTATTTAAGTTTGTAATAGTAATCTCTGGTTACCAAAAATGTACCGTACACATGATTTGCCCATTGAAAAAGGACATCTTTAACATAAGAGTGTAGATAATTATTAGATTTATAAGTCATATAGAGTAAGGTAAAAAATGTTGTCCTTTTTACAGATTTGGTGCAATCTACAAAATAAAAAGGATTGCCTTAAGGAGGCAGATGACCAATTAATGTTTATTTATAAAAATAATCTGGAAGTCGGTTTTATTTAATCTCCTTTTATGATAACATTTAATGGTTGTGTAATGTTATAAGTGAAATATACTCTGAATCTTCGTAACATTTTGTAAGCATTTATAGCCATCTTTAGCTTTAATTGATGAGGAGACGGAATAAGTGTAATTGTTCGCCAATGTACTGTTATACCATAAACAACAGTATTATCCATTCATAACTACTCAGTGTTACCATAACATAAAATGAATGTTGATTTAAATGAGTCTTCTACTGTTTGTTTTTACTGCCCCGACTACCTTAGCTTTCTAAATTATTTTTGTAAAATATTGGCATAATTTGTAGTTTTAGTTATAATATTTTATACAGTAAAAATACAAATCTCACCTAGTGACAAAAATATGAATAAACATTTTTGTAATATTTAATTTTGGTTTCATTATAGACTTAATAAGTGACTTATTCCTTCCAATTAGAATCTACAGAGATTAAAACTATAAAGACGACTAAATACGAGCCAAAAAAAATGTCGGGCGTCTTCCGCGGAATCCTTTATAACTCTCGAGAATTCCTCTATCTTTTGGCTCTTATTGTGTATATTATACAATTGACATAGAGTTCATAATGCTATGTATAAATTCCTTGTAAAAATTCTCGTCCATTTCATGCCGCGGCGGTATGAATTGAGGCATAGACTGCAATCTGCGGTCGTTCTTACAGTGACAAAGCATATACAGTGCGAACAAGATCTCGTGGAACTTAGATGGCATTGACAGGAGGGCGCTACTGGTGATTAAGTGATGTAATGATTACAAAGTACATTAATTCTCGTCACTAAAGGGAACGTTATACTTTATAACTCGGAAAGAATAATAGAAAACATATAAGGCTTATTTACACCTTCCTATAGAGGGTGTAAAAAATCCTATGACAAAGACTAAAACTACGCATTCTGTACACTCAAACAAGTGATATTACAAAATATTGTACGTGGGATTCATTTGTATTTTTAAGTTTATAAAAATACAAAAAAATCAAGTACACAATGTATAGCGCGGCGCACTACTGTGGCGCTACGCAAAGAATGTGCCTGTGTGTATGTGTGCGTCGATAAAAAAGTTTCTAAATAACGCTTTGAAAATATAAATGTAAAAAACTTAAAAAAAAATGTGACTTTGACCTTCAATATCTCCTTAAGCATAAATTTCCCAGGTGTGGTCCAGAAGAAAAAATTGACCGTCATGATGTGGAAAATACGTGGCATACTTCGTTAAAGGATTTTTTACACTCTGTATAAATAAGGCTTATTTATACCTACCTAAAATTAGTTCCGATTTCGGCCACGCACCACATGTTCTTGGTCGCACTGTAAACTTATTGTCACGATCATTATGATGGGGGGGGGGGGGGGGGAGATAACTGACAATACTCGCCACCAGAGGTGCTGATATTGTCTAACTCAAAACATCGCAAGCAAGTCGCCGAGATCACAAAACAGTAATATAATAATACAGTCAACATTGTTATATAATAATCTGGATGTACAAAACTATCATCTTTAATCCATTCATCCATGATTCTAAAACCATTTGCGAGTAGGGGCGTGATACTCCAACCCAAAAAAGAGAAAGCTTCAATATTTACAAATCACTTTATTTTGTTGCATATCAAGTCTATTAGTTTCTTTTTACAATAAATACATTGTTTTTTTTTTTTGAGTATAAAAACTAGTGTTGCGAAAAAAAATAAAAAAAAATAAACAACACAAACACTGTCGACGTTTTTAAATATAAAGTCTTGATTGTCAGGTTAACTTTCTCAAGTCCAAAAGACACATATTCCGGTGACCGCTGCCGCCAGTGGGGTACCGAAACGAATCAGTATGAATCGCACTCACTCTCTTCATTGTCCTGGAAAAATAAATCAATCAAAAGGAGATGGTTCAAAAGTGGTAGTCGGTTTCTAGCAGCGACGAAACATATCATTTGAAAGCTTGTTTTTTGTTATGACATGAACAGATACTTTATTTTTTTTATTTACCTCCGATTAATTTTAAATCGTATTTAAAAATTGAACAATTTTGTAAGAATGCTGGCCACCCACCCTATCATAAGTAACGCCATATTTTTGGTGTGGCAGCTTATAACGTCAATTTAATCACTTTGGAAAATGTCAATCAGTCCAGTCATGCTTGATGTTGGTGAAATCGTGGTGAACTTATTATACCAATTTATGATTGATTCTTCTTGAAATAATATATCCACAAAATACCTAATAATGTAATGAAAGATGAACGGAATAATTATTACTGATTTAGTTACCTATTGAATACAATATATTTGATGCCTTGGCAACAAAAAAATAAGATAATTAAACTTGACATTTTCCATATATTATAATATTTATTAAAAAAACGGAGATAAAATAAAATCTGGGTTTTTGGCAAACGATTTACAATTAAGTGCACTACATCTCATAAAAATTTGGAGTCTGCCGGAGACTGACTACCACCCTCCATACATATTTGAACCAGCTTCTTTCTCTTATATAATGTGTATTTTTATGGAAACGTATGTTTGAGTAAAATGTTGCATTATTTAAATGAGAAGTCGATAAAGTAGAAGAAAAACTGGCTAAAGGCGAGTCGGAATCGCATACGAAGAGTTCTATACAAGATATGATTTGAGCGCTTTTCTTCGATTTAGTTAAGTTTCGTATATGGGCCTCTTTAATTTTTATCTTACTAATATTATAAATGTGGAAGTTTGCAAGCTGTTACTAAATCACACAAAACGGTTGAACCGATTTTGATGAAATTTGATACACCTGGAAAGAGTCGTTTTATCCCGGGAAAACTTAGATTACTTAGCAGGGCAAAGTGACGGGCGGAAGCTAATTTTTAAGAGAGGTACCTACAGAGGTACCTACCTATTTACATTCTGTGGTAATTTAAACTGTCTAAATATTACATTGTTTAAGCTACATCCCACCGACAGACGCACGGACAGTGGAAGCTTAGAAAGAGGGAACCCTAAAAAGACTACTCTCTTTTTGAGCTTAAGTTTATCTCCGTGCCATGGACACCGTACCATAGACATTACCTGGCGAGTGGCAGACGCGGGTCAGTTGGCCTCCTTGAACCCGTTGGCCATGGGCTGGTGGACGTTAGTCTCCACTGACCATAGACACCGTACCACAGACATAACGAGTTGCCACTCTGGCAGTAGCGATGAGAAAAACGGATTAAATTTATTCAACGTTTAAACGTTGTGAACGCGTTGTTAGTCTCAGCGGACCATAGACCATAGACATTGCCTGGCGAATGGCAGACGCGAATCAGTAGACACCTTCCCATAGACTATATACAACAGACACTGCACCATAGACACTGTACCATTGACATAGTACTGTAACGTCCGTTGCGTTACAGCCTCCTTTTGGGTAAACTCTTTGTTCAAGTAATGCCTACGGCTGGCAGTCATATTAAAAAGGTAATGTCATGATTTTAAGATTTCAAATTAGGAATCCACTGTCGTTTGATAGAAGATTCCATGAGATAGACTTCAGGCACTAAACCATACGTTGATAGATTAAGCTCAATTATTATATTCGCCTGATTTCTAATAAAATAAAAGAATTAAACATACAAGTTGTTTTCCATTTGATAAAACTACGCCCCCAAGATCTATCCCTTCAGGGTAGATCGCCGCAGTACCATAGACACCGTCACAGATACTTTATAATGGACACCGTACCATAGACATTACCTGGCGAGTGGCAGACGCGGGTCAGTTGGCGGCAACCTCCTTGAACTCGTTGGCCATGGAACGCGTCGTTAGTCTCAACAGACCATAGACACGGTAGACATTACCTGGCGAGTGGCAGACGCGAGTCAGTAGACACTTTCCCATAGACTATATACCACACACTGTACCATTGACATAGTACAATAGACACCGCGTCATAGATACTCTATCATGGACACCGTACCATAGACATTACCTGGCGAGTGGCAGACGCGGGTCAGTTGGCGGCAACCTCCTTGAACCCGTTAGCCATAGGCTGATGGTCGTTGGTGCGTCTCCACAGACCATAGACACGGCCGGGCACCCCCTGCCATAGACGAACGGTGCCATCTTCGGAACTCGTCGCGTAAAGTTCCCCGTCTGGAGACCATCGCACGCAGTGAACTGGACCGAAGTGTCCCTTGTTCGATTCTGGAAGGCAATACATTCAAAAGTCAATAAAATACTTCTTAATAATTTACTATAATTATCAGCCCAATAATGTCCCTACTGCTGCGGCACAGACCTTTCCAATGGATGAAATAGGAAAGGGAGATTGGGCCGTGACCCACCACGTGGGCCCAGTGCAGATTGGTGGGTGCTAACGACTGCAAATGCAGCCGGGACCAACGGCTTAATCTGCCTCCCGTAGCACAGAAGAGCTCGAGATAATAAGTTTTTGGTCACCCATCCAATGAGTGACCATTGCGAAAGTTGCTTAAATTCCACGATCGCAGAACAAACAGACTAACCACCTGTGCCACCGAGCTCCAAGTTAATTTATAATGGGGGAGCCAAAATGGGTATTTTTGGATTAACTCGAGCCCGGCAGAATAACATAAGAGGGGCAACCTTGCATCTTATGAAGTACTCTCACCATTCCTGACTTTTTGTATGGCCGAACGTCCAGAGCAGCAAAAATAATTTCAACAAGCAGCCACGACTTTTGTTTGCTTCCGAATCGTCAGACTTTTGAATAAAAGCTACTGGAGGATTCACGACACGTTCATTGCACGCACCCACCCACACACTCATACATACATACACACACACACAAACACACACACATACACACACACACACACACACACACACATACACACACACACATACACACACACACATACACACACACACATACACACACACACACACACACACATACACTCACACATCATTTCATACATTACATATTAATTAATTTATGTATTATACTCATAGATGCCTTGCTTTTAAAATGAATTGCTACCTATTGACTTTTTCATTTATGAGAAATGTATTTAGTCTAGTTTAGTATTGTCATGTCTGTGAGGGTTTATGGCGCTGAATGCTGAAATACAGGCCTTGCCTAATTCAGCAGATGTATAACTAGTGCTAAGTCGGTTAAGAAATCTTATTGTACTGATTTTTTGGTCAATAAATCTTATTATTATTATTATCTGAATCGCAATATGAAGGGGCAATCAACATACCCAGCTCAGTGCCGGTATTGAAGTCGAACTTGTAGACTTTGAGGTCGTCGCCGCCGCAGACGAAGGTGGCCCGGCTCGGCGCCAGCGATGCGGAGAAACACGTAGTTGGCACGGGGAACTCGCGCATCTTGCGCATCGAGTCCGAAGTGTAGAACGCAACGTTTGAACCTTACATCGGAAACATGTAATAATAAGCTATTTGACACTTTTTGGAAATATTTTTTAAATGGTTAATAATTGTTCTATTAGACCGAAAAAAAATGCGCAGCTAAAAAACTTTAATTTTAAAATTATATTTTCATGGACACACAAAAACGCTGTTGGACATTTTATTCTATAGATTATTATCTATGCTACGACTTCAAAAAAATAGTAAACAAACATTCGGAAGCTCGTAGTATATCTGTATTTATATTATAAAACCATGATTTCTAATAGATTTCATGATAAATGTACCTAGTAATCATCATGATTGTATTAGAAAGTCGAAACACATCGTCAAAGCATCGAGAAAAATTGTGGTTTAAATTGCCTAGAGAAATACACATACCTACACATCAACACATGTTGTTTAAAACTTGCTAAATCCTGTAATTTTATCGTCTGAAAGACATTTCTTTTAGCAAAGATCACGACAATGTAAGTACTCATTGAATAATATTTAAAGTTGAAAAATACAATTTTTAAGGTTATGAATGTACCTACTAAGTCAAAGAGTTTTGTCGTTGTCGTTTCTACTTTCACAAATCCGGCGTCCAGCATTAATTTAGTCAACAAAATCAATAAACGGATTTTTTTCTATCTTGTAGAAACAGATTTTAGATAATTATATTTTAGTCCGACGAAAGAAACCACAGTAACACGACAATGACGTTTAGTTCTTAACTAATTTCTGACGCCACAACCATGGTGGATAGCGTTTTTAGTGTTTAAAAAACATAAGACTCAAAACCATATTTCCAATTAAATTACTACAGCCATCTTCTAATTTTATGAAGTGAAATCGATGTATTTAGATTCCTCATACCAAAAATTATAAGAATTAAACATTTGTATAGTGCAATTTGACATGAGTCAACTAGCCTATTATTTTAAAGGAATCTTGCTTAATTTACGTAGGTAATGTTTAAAATATCGACATATTGTAAAAACAATTAAAGAATTAACAGAAGTAACTAGATTAAAAAAAACATACAAAACTTCTTCGCATTTGACGTGTATCGAGATCGAATTCAACTATTCGAATTCGATATTGATTCGTGCTAAGGGTACTGACCCTATTTACTATTTTTTTTACTTCTAGTTCCGCATGTACAGAGACATAAATCCTTATAAATAATAGTTATATCATAAATAATGAAAAAAATAAAATAAAGAAGAGTTAAAATAAATAAGATTGGTAAGCAAGCATGAAACAATCGTAAACGTTATCACATGACGCAAAGCCTTATTTGTTTTCCTCAATCAAAGATAATTACTACAGATTCAATTGTAGTCACAGTTATTTCATAATTTATTACTAAATGATCTAACATCACACGATCATTGTGAAGGGATTATTTTAAACATTATTCAACTGTCATTTATTACATTGATGGTCGGGTAATGCACCAGCAGTGATCATGGCTGCTGCTATAAAATCCCAGTACAGACATTATGGCCAATTTGTCATAAGTTCTAATAGTACAGGATCCCAAAACTGCCAGACCTCACTTATTTTCTCATGGACGAAATATGGATTATTAAAACACGTAACGTCACGTAAAAATTTTACTCACTTTACTTAAAGTTTGGGGACTGATTATTACGTATGTTGTAGATTATATTGTAAACAATTTGATATTAATACTGCCTGACACATTCTGTTCGCAGTATTTATTGCCGGACACTTTTAATGTCGAAAGCAAAAAATACAAGCTTATTGTCAGAAATAATTTTGATAATTAGATAATAAGAACTTATTTAATTATTGTAAAAGGCTTCCTGTACCCTATTAATTACATAAATTTAATGAAGCTGTATTAAAAAGACACTTAATAAGCGCGCCTGTCCTCACAGTGGCAGTTCAAATAAGCTTAGGGAATTTTTGGCACCGAAGTTTTGACCGGCAGCTTACAAAATATAATAATAGCCCCCTAAATATCATAGATAAATATCAGGTCTCAGACTGTAAGTAAGTTTTGTGGTTTTTGCTTTCGACATTTAAAGTGTTTGGCAATAAATACTGCAACCAGAATATGTCAGGCTGTATTAATTTTTTTTTTTTTACAATATTCTCTACAACATACGTAATAATCAGTCACCAGACTTACAGTCTGGTGGTCACTGTAAAGTGAGTAAAATTTTTACGTGCCTGTGCCACCTGATTCGTGAAAATTGGCTTACAGCACAAGTTAGCGAGTATGTATACGTTCGTTGTACACACTAATACAACTCGATAATCCATATTTCGTCCATGAGAAAATAAGTGAGGTATGGCAGTCTTGGGATCTTATTCTATAATATTTGTACATAATAAGCTATTTGACAGCATGAAAATTAAAGTACCAAAATCTGTATTTAATATGAATTAGCAGCAGCATTCTTACTTTATTTAACAATGCCATTACATCGTATCGTTTGACTTTATGGTTTACTTTTTTTTAGCAAAATACACAACAAAATGATGAATAGCAGATTTTTTATGGACACCATAAACATTAGTAAATACCGTGAGATCGATTTCTCAAACTTGTCTAATACCCTGCTGTTTATATTTTTTATGTATTTTTATAATATAAACATTATAGCTCTGCTTGATTAAGAACTAAATTATTGGTGTTTTGCCTAGACTTTATTAATATAAAAAAGTATTTTAACTCACCATAAGCAACAGTCAATATGGCTCCATCTCTGGACAATTCTAAGCTATTTGGAATGCTTGGAAATTCAATTTTATGCACCTCCTGAAATAGATGATAGAATAAAAGCATGGAACTTTATTTATTTTATAGGTAGGTAGTTATAATTTACACTCTTATTACTAAAGGCGTTAAAAAATAACAAAAAAAAACTGTTATATATTTAAATAACAGTTCAATTAAAACTTTTTACCAACTAACATAAAGACAGGAATGAACTTCATACATTTATAACCTCTTTCTATCAAGATATATTTCTTTCCTAAGGTTGGCAAAAAAAAACATAATACTCGCCTAATAGCAAGCGGCCGCCATAACCTATAAACGTTTGTGTAACCATTAGTATTTAACTCACATGGTAATCTACGATAGCGATACGAATACTTTCTCGCTCGTTGTTCGTGCTTGGGGAACTGGGTACCACATAGAAGTGTCATCAGATTATAAATAATAAGTATATTTATATAGAAATCCATATGAAACACTGGAGTACAAATACTCGTATTCATCACAGAAACATCTGCCCCCACCGGGATTCGAACTCGGGACCTCTCAAGTCGGCGACACCATGAAACCCGGCGTACAAACAACTCGGCCACGGAGGTCGTCAAACATAAAAAATTGCACACAAAGTTAACATACCTGTCCACTATTACGATCCCATACGCGCAATGTGAGGTCGTCACTGACACTGACGATACGGGAGTTGTGGAGGAAGACCGCATGCCTTATGCTGTTTGTGTGCGCGTTGAACTTCTCTACAGCTGCAAACGTATACTATTCATGAAACGGTTTTTCTTTTATTGCTTCCAAAAAAAATACAACATTTGAATCAATCGGCGATATGTCTTCGACATCTTAATATGCACATGTACTGTACAATTAATTCAGTAAGTGCGTAATTTGACAAAAAAAAATATAATTATGGCATGACAATAGTGGCGCGGATACGGATAGGATGGTGGGAGGCGGAAAATTTAACATTTCTTTGGAAAACATCTCATTTCTCTCAAAATGGGGCATAATTTTTCAATTAATTTTATTTTTGTTTCCTTTTTTTGCATTATTGGCTTGACAATTATTTAAATACCAGTGTAATATTAGATAGTAATCTCTTCTCTAATAGACAAGTCCGTCCGTCCGTCCGTGGTGCTGTTTCAGCGGCCAAACCGTAAGAGATAGATAAAGAGAATGTTTAAGTTATAAGTTAAGAATAGTCTGATAAGACTACAAACCGGATTTGAGTAACGTAGCACTTCCGGTTTTCGAGAAATCACGTGATTTAAATTTCAAACGAAACCACACAAAATCTCCGAAATTCTCAATTAATTAAATACATTTTTTTTTAAATCAGGTTTTGGTGAACATTTGGTTCACTGGTTTGCTAGTATAGTATATTACATAAACATATGAAATATTTATTATTAGTACAAAACTTGATACGGTGATTTTGATTAAAATATTATAGTATATGTAAATAATATGAAAAAAGAGAGAATATAAACTCAACATTTATATGCATATAAAACTTCAACCCATATTCCCTTCAGGCCAGCAGAACTTGAGCATAAAGCAAATACTTTATAAATAAACTTACAAAATCAATCAGAAAAAGCTTTTAAAATAAAAAAATAACTTGTTTATTTGGTCAGCCCTTATTAATGGACAATGCAGTGAAAGCAGCAGATATTTTTATGTTTTTTCCACTATTGCAGCAATCCATTAACTTAATTTAAAAAGAAGTATGTAATATGATTAATTTCTTGGCCAAATACTATGTTACAGTAATTTTACCTTAACAAAAGATGTTAAGCAATGCACACACTTTGCCAATCTTGTTGAAAAACATAGCTTCCTATAAAATACACTGGACACAAGATGGATGACTCACAATCTAAATTCAAAGAGGAAAACATGGAAATAACAATGAATGAGAGAAAAAATAATTTTGCACTGGCTATTGTACTATTAAAATCTAAAAAAAAACATTCTTACAATCACAAATAAGATGAAATGCTTTATCTAATACTATTAGGCATATATTTTTATTTTTAATACAATGACGCATGACGAATATTACTAATATTTTGCAGATACAACTATCTTTGCTCTCATTTTGAATATAGTGATATGCTTCTGATTTTAATAAAGAAACATTTGATGTGGTCTGTTTTAGTATCTATTTATTCAATCAAAAAGTTTTTTGATTCTGTAACATAATAGAAATACTATTATGTTTCTCACAAAAAGGAAGTACACTTACGTCCAGCTTCGGGTTTGTTCAGGTCGAATACTCGTATGAGTTTCTCGTTACTAGCTGTGAGGAGCATGGTGTCATCAGAATTAAAATTCACACTCTTCACTATATGCTCATGGTCAAATGTGTGAACAACCTCACCATACCGGGCATCCCATAATTTAGCTAATAAGAAAAGAAATTTATATTTAAATAAAATATATGTAATTGTAGTTACAAAAAAAATTACACTGTTACTAATATAACACTAATAAGACCAATAATAATAAAACTAAAATGATATACCTGAGAAGTCTGCTGCCCCACTAGCAGCTAAATTAGCATTTTGTGTCAGCGCTACCCCCCACACGGCTCCTTTATGACCCTCAAATGTACCAATCCAGTCTCCTGTTTCACCTTGCCGCAACATAGGCTTACCATCTATGGAAAAACCATAAAGATATTGCAATAAATATTTTTATTTTGAAAATAAAGATAAATTGATTAATGTAATAATATTATTTTTAGTTAATTGAAACCCATAATTTATGTAGGTATTAAATTGAGAATGTGATTGACAAGTAGATTGAGTAGAATTGCAAGATTAAATAATATATGCAAGGCAGTAGACATGAAGTTAGTTATCATAATAATAAATTCAAATCAAACAATTTTCAATATTAATAAAAATATTGTAAAAGTGCTTGATTTGATTTATTTGTATCAATTAGATATTATCTGAAATATTTTAGTTATATTTACTTTATAATTTATAGATGCTCTAATTTCCCCAACAACAGTTGGTGCAACTGCAATGAGAATTATATTGTCCTAAGTGTATTTATGAGAATCTAATATTTTATATTCTGCCTTCTACAACAAAGAAGATGATTCAAAAGTGGTGGTCGGTCTGGCTGCGATGAAAAATATATCATTTAAAAGCTTATTTTATGTCATCTTCTTGTTTATATTTTATTTATCCCTGAATAATTTTAAATTGGGACAAAAATTTAACAATTTCATAAGGAAGCTGGTCATCCTGTCTTAAGTAACGTTGTAGTTTTAGTGGGTGGCATTTGGTAAATTATTTTTATTATCAGTACCTATGGTACTGCTGGTGAGAACTGAGTTATTATTGTTTTAAAGGTACTCAGTTCAACTTCTGATAGGGTATTCATTTTTTTGATGACCCATACAATATTTTTTCCAAGTTATGGTTGTTTATCTTAATTAGTTTCCATAGTGCAACCTCTGCTTCGTTTGGGACTAAATGATGTTTTGAGATAACCAGACTTTATTAATATTTAGTAATTTCAAACATTTTTATCATAATCTCATTGATTTGTTTAATATTACTAACTACACTGCCTTGACTAAACTTATTATAAAAGGAATCTTCATTATTGTACCAGATTAAATTATAGTAATATTTTTCTTATTAGATTCTCACACCAAGTACAACAAAATCTTTTACTCTGGTTGAGACAATGATAGCTATTTCAGTAAAAGCTATACAGGACAATAACATCTTTTAAATTCATTCTGTAAACATTAATGTCAAGTGCTATTACAAACCTTGAAAAGGAACACAAGGTGACCCAGAATGGGTGAAATGTCAACTTCCAACACAGGAACTATCTTTCGAAGCTAATACCATTTCGTACGCACACAAAAGCACGGAACTTGTATATCATGTCGCAACAACGTGAACAAAAACCACGATATGTTTACCAAGGCGAGCAGCCGCCGCGAGGAAACTTACGAGCGGATAATCAAGGTTCTTCCTGCATGTCCGGAAAGAGAAGGTCGAAGCATGCATAGAATGCACGCCGGTGAAGTAAACCAATGTAGACAAAATAAAAAAGTGAAGGCCTCGTAAAGTTTTACCTAACATCTGTCACACGAAACTCAAACAAATACACCCAAACACACTTGCAGGTCTTCCACCTACATCTAGGCCAAGGCAAAAGGGCAACATAAGCTTAAAAGATTTCAGAAAACTTACCTTTGCAGGCAGAAATCAAATAATATCCATCCTTTGTAACGTCACTAAAATCCAAGTGTACGACTGGTCTAGTATGGCCACCACATGTGAGAGGAACTTGCTTGAACGTAGTCATTTTGTTAATAAAGTCTGTATATTGTACTTTTTAAAAATAAAACTAAGATCTTTGTAACTAAAATTAACCTAATGAGTCTGATCGTACTGAATGTTGACAATCGACTGACGGATATGAATGAACCTGTGTTGCTACAAATTAAAAACATTGACTTGACCGTAAAGAAAGATACAGAGATCAAACTTTTCTTCCAAATTATTCCACAATAAAATCAATCATGAGCTTACAAAAAAATCTGATTGCTGTCTTATCAATCAATTCTAATGTCATGTTTTTATTTATTGTTAATAAAAAACGTAATTGTATGAACGAGACATAATGCCTCTGTTATAACTAATTCACAATGCCTGGGTTGCCCCTTTTTGCAACTTGTTGAAGATATGATTTTATGTAAAACCTTCTTGTTAGGGCGACTCGATGGCCTGTTCTCTATGTCACCGTTACTTCATTCTAGGACTTTTGCAAATACGTCAACGGTGTATATCTATAAAAATGTAAAATGTGATTGGGACTACATAAACTAAATATTACGAGCTGATTGTCTTTCCTTTCTACGATCCACTTCCTCAACATGGTAGCAAAGGAGCGTGGTTGAATAAAATAAATAGAAAGAGGAAGATAAGTGGAAATTATTTGAAAAGGTCAGTACCGAAACAATTGAAGACGTAAGGTACCGAAAATGGAAGTAAAGATAGGAGAAGTGGGCATTCAGATATTTGATGGTGCAAATTATGAAAAATGGAAATTTAGATTAAAGTTGTTGTTACAAATGAAAGAATGCCAAGAAGCTGTGGAAAATGATATGAAACATGAAGGTATGACAGACACGGAATGGAGAAAAATTGATTTAAAGGCAAGAAATATTATAGTGAATAGCGTAAATAATACTCAGCTCGATATAATAATGAATGAAAGTACGGCTTACCAAATGATTAAAAAATTGGACGCTATATGTATATGATATATGTATTTAGTAAAAGGCAGTGCTAATAAATTATTAATTAAAAGGAAAGTACTAGAAACAAAATTCAAAGATGGCGACGATATACTAGAATTCATACAAACATTTGAAAAACAAATCAATGAACACGGACCTGAAAAAAAGACGGACGTAACCTCGTCTTATCTCGAGTGAAGCATGCAAATGGCCGCCCGCTTACAGTGTGTGCGTGATTTCAGGGTTGTCGGGTAAATCATCAATTTCCCTACTTTTTAAATCTCCCAAACTAAAACATTGTTAACATTATGTAATCAAATATATATTATAAAAACGGGATATTTACCACGTGTTTTACTCGTTGTGAGCTCCTAATTTTTCAGCAATTTAAACGGTCTATCAAATTATTTTTAGGAACACCGAGATAGATTATGTAACTTGTTATGTAAAAAGAAACTTTATTGTTTAATACATATAAATGTTAGTGTCTTAATATTATGTATGAGGTTAATAACATACATTAATATACATAAATCGCGCAGATTAATGCTTAAAATAAAAATATAATAGACTAATATTGCTATTTCTTCTTTCAAATGTAAGTATTTCATTCATAGATTGAGTAGGTATTTAAAGACTGACAGAGTGAGGAAAAGAAATATCATGCCAATCCTATAACGTAGAAAGAGACGCAACATGATGTACCTTTCGTCTAATAATATATTTTTAGCAAGAGCCGCAGCGCCCTGTCAAGTCGTACTGAGATAAAATTTATTATGAAATTCTGTGAAACTAACTCGACACTTTTATAGATATTTTTTTGGAACAGTAGCGATAGGTACTCTGTCTATCTTTACATCCTATATCTATGGTTTCATTTGACATCGTGGTTTACCTACAATACGAAGAAATGGCACTACCGTGCAGCCTAAGAAATACAAGAAGAAATTCGTCATGATCATTAAGTTCTCGGTAGCATAGCAATTAGTGCATCCACCCAGACAGCAGAAAATGCAGGTTCAAGTCCTGCCTGTAATTCATCACACTAATATTATAAATGCGAAAGTTTGTGAGTATGTGAGTGTGTATGTTTGTTACTTCTTCACGTCTAAACGGCTGGAGCGATTTTAATAAAATTTGGTATGGAGTTAGCTGATACCCTAGATTAACACATAGGCTACTTTTATCCCGAAAAAATGTTAGGTTCCAGAGGGATTTTCAAGAAACTAAATTAACGCAGACGAAGTCGCGGGCGACCTCTAGTTTTGTAATAATTTTGGTTATCGTAATTTGGTTTCAAAAGTTTATTTGTATAGTAGTTCTGTTAACGGGTTTCAACTGTATCTATATATATAAAACTCAAAGGTGACTGACTGACTGACATAGTGATCTATCAACGCACAGCCCAAACCACTGGACAGATCGGGCTGAAATTTGGCATGCAGGTAGATGTTATGACGTAGGCATCCGCTAAGAAAGGATTTTATCAATTCTACCCCCAAGGGGATAAAATAGGGAATGACAGTTTGTATGGAACTTTGTCAATTTTAAACCGATCGGGCTGAGACTTTGCATGCAGGTATAAGAAAAATCATAGATGAATGTCATTGTGTATAATACAACAATTCAGCTCTACACCGAAGCGAAGCGAGGGCGGACCGCTAGTTTTTAATATTTCTTCTTTACAGGCTCAGGTTTGAACGAAAACCAAACAACGTGTGCACTGCACACAGTACTGGAAGGTGATGGGTCCCTAATTGTTATCCCCTTTGCAGTATCGAATAATTCAAACCCAGTCATCTCTACGGTTTCTATTTCTAGGAAACCTATTAGAAAGAAGACAAGACTATAATTTATATAAAATATTCTATGAATAATATGGCTTCTTTTCTTTTCCTTTTGGGATACGGAACCCTAAAAATTTACGAAATCTTATCTTGCCTAGTCACAAATGCAAGAAATACAAATTTCCCTACTTTTAGGGAAAATTTCCCGTAAATAAAGTAGCTACACAGTTGTATTTTTGTTTACAATTTTTATCCTTGTAAATAAAATATAATATAAAAAAAATATCAAGAATCGTCAACTTAAGCATAGTAGGTGATTCCTTGTGACTTTTCAAATTTACTCGTGTAGTTTTTAAAAGATTTCACCACACAAGACGGCATTTTTTTAAAAATATATCGGAGCAATTGAACGTGTGACTGGCGCTGTCACGCGAGTTCAAATGGCAGCGGATTGTCCGACCTGGTGCATTAGTGTGAGTGTAGGTAGTTTACAACACACGATTTTGTCTGACCTACATGTCATTGTCATGCTTCACATGATTTGCCTTTGATATTACGTCCGTCTTTTTTTCAGGTCCGTGTCAATGAATTGAAAAATGCTGGAGAAGTCGTGTCGGAAGAGGATAGACTGAACTATTTATTGCTTGCATTACCTGAGAGTTTTGCACATATTGTAAATATTGTTGATGCGATGCCGACAAAGGATCGGACAGTGGAGTACGTGAAGTCCAAATTACTACTTGAAATGAAAAGAAAACAGAACGAACAAGAAGTTCATACGTTCAGTTCTCGATCAAATCAACACCAAGATGGGTCCAGGAATAATGATAACTGCTTTGAATGCAACCGCCTAGGACACTACAGGAGGGATTGTCCTAAGTTAGCACGTCGTGGTCATGGTCGTGGTAGAGGACGCGGATATGGAGGCGGACGACGAGGAACTCACAGAGGATATAGAGGAGGATACAACAATAGAAGCGTGAATACAGGACAAAGTAGCAGCACCAGTGATGGATTTGGATTCAACGTAGAAGTAGAAGCGATGACAGGAGCTACCGAAACGAAAGCGGATATAACATGGTTATTGGACAGCGGATGTAGCGATCACATCGTAAATGACGATAAATTCTTTCGTGATTATAAAATTTTAGAAACACCTGTGAATATTAAGGTAGGTGATGGATTTTGTCTTAAGTCGGAGAAAATAGGAAATGTAACAATGTACTGTAAAGCAGGAGGTAAGTCAAATAAAATTGATGTTTAAAATGTATATTATGTTCCAAATATGAAAAAGAACTCATTAAGCGTTTCATGCATTGTAAATAGAAATAATACAATTCAATTTAGAGGAGAAATAGCAAATATATATAATGTACATATAGGTTTAATGGCCGTCGCACGCAAGAAAAATAAATTGTACGAATTAGATGGCAGAGTTAATTTAGGTGCAGGTACAGTAGCATACACAAGTGGTAACATTATGTCAGAAAAAGAAAAATGGCACAGAATACTTGGGCATCCTAACTTTAAGAAACGAAATGAAATGTGCAGGCATAGGGTTGTAGATGGGTTACCTATCACTTTAGGCGAGGGTTACGTGCAATGTGAAGTTTGTTTGATGAACAAAATGACAAATCTACCTTTTGGAAATCAAAGACGACGGGCAACAGACTTGTTAGAGATTATCCACACGGATGTGGCAGGCCCGATTACGCCCACTGGATATAAGGGGCAACGATACTTTGTGTCATTCATAGATGACTATAGTAGGTTAGCTTATCTATGCTTAATTAATAACAAGAGTGATGTTTTTAATTGTTTTAGAGATTATGTAAATATGGTGGAAAATCAAACAGGTAAGAGAGTGAAATAAATCAGATGTGACAATGGCGGAGAATATATTAACAACGATTTCTACACTTACACAAAGCAAAAAGGTATTTATTTAAAACCAGGGCCAGCTTATACACACGAGTTGAACGGTGTAGCTGAAAGATTTAACCGAACCATAATGGAGAGAGCGAGGTGTCTGCTTACAGAAGCAAAGATAAATAAGAAATATTGGCCTGAATGCGTTATGACTGCAGCATATCTAGGTAATAGAATATTAACAAATACGTATGAGAAAAAAACACCGTACGAAATTTTTATGGGGAGGAAGCCAAATGTAAGTAATTTAAAAATTTTCGGATCACAGTGTTATGTACGAATTCCAGACGAATTACGCACATCAAAACTTAACCCAAAGGCTACAAAAGGTATATTAGTAGGATACACAGATACGGGATACAGAGTATTAATAAATGAAAAAATAGTCATTAGTCGTCACGTTACATTTATAGGTACGAAAGAAGAACAGATAATAAAGATAGTAAATACTG